TCTTAGTACATTCTTCACTGCGATGTTCCTTTTTACCACAAAAAGAACAAACGGTCTCACTAGGTAAGTTCACATATTTCTTTTTCTTTCCAGTGGACTTCTTCTTATGAACATAGCCTAGACCTTCTGTTCTTTTTGTCTGAGCTTCCTTACCCACTTGGGAACACACGTGCTTGCTGTATTTTTACTTTTTCTTGCAATTTCTAGGTCCTTTTCTAGTTTCTCATTTTTATCATTGGTTTCCTTTATCTCTTTCTTAACATGCTCTAGTTCATTATTAAACAAGATTAAAGGAATTTCAGTAGACCTGCAAGAATCAATGTTAGTACACAGCATTTTATATTGAGTTAATTCAATATTTAGCATGATATTCTCACTCTTGACTCTTTCAAGGGATTCTTTTAACATAATATTTTTATCTAACAATTCAAAGAATCTGCCTTGAACATCATTTCTTAAGCTATTCAGATACTTAACATGATCTCTACAAATTCCAGTTGCCTTTTCGGCTTGCCTTAGTTTTGCACATAATTCTTTATATTCATCTAAGGTTTCTAACAATAAAGAGATTAACTTATACTTTGAGAGAGATTTCAAATAACTAGGTTGAATGACTACCTCATCATCATGCTTTGCCATTAGACAGAGATTGGCTACTTCATCGTCGGTGTGTTCCTGTTCCTCTTCTTCGGAACTTGATTCTCCCCACGTGGAAATCATTGCTTTCCTGAAATTTGTTTTAGAAAAGTTAGGCTTGGAGTTTCTGTTTTGATCAGCTTCTTTTCCCTTGCCTTTCTCAGATTCCCATAATGGACACTCTTTGATGAAGTGGTTGGTGCTTCCACATTTGTGACAAGAAGACTTGGCTTTGGATTCCTGATTTCTTTTACTGTATCCTTTCTTTTTGTCTAAAAACTTGTTGTTACGGTAGAATTTTTTCAGCCTTATCACCAACATTGCAGCTTCTTCTTCATCAATGTCAGACTTCTCTTCGGATTCTTCATTAGCTCTTAGTGCTAGCCCTTGACTTTTGACAGTCTCCTGAGTCCGATTGTTCGACTGGATCTCGTGGGAAATGAGGGAACCCGCAAGCTGTTCCAGGTTGAACTTGGTGAAGTCTTTTGATTCCTGCACAGCTACAACCTTTGCTCTCCATCTGTCATTGTCTGGAAGACTTCTTAAGACCTTTCTGACCTGCTCATCTATAGGAATTATCTTACCAAGACACGTTAGTTCGTTAATAATACTTTTAAATCGAGTAAACATGTCTTTAATGGATTATTTGTTTCCCATTTCAAAGCGCTCATACTGAGATAAAAGAATGTCTATTTTGGAACGTTTAACATCTGACGTTCCTTCATGTGTAACTTCCAGAAGATCCCAAATTTCCTTTGTGGACTTGCACCCTTTGACACGAGTATGTTCATCGGGTCCAAGTCCCCAAATTAAAAACTTTTTGGCAGTAGCATTCATTTCTAGTTTTTCGAAATCAGTTTTTTCATATTCATCCATAGGTTTAGGGATTACCTCATTGTTAGCATTCGTTTTCGTAATTTCGTAATCTCCTACTTGTATAATCTGCCATACCTGATAGTTCTCTGCTTGGATAAAGATTTCCATCTTATCCTTCCAATAAGGATAATATTTGCCGTTGAAGTATGGAGGCCTTTGAATGGATGTACTCCCGAATTCCTTTTCCTCTGTGTAAGCCATTTTCCCAGGAACTTACTCAACAAGGTTGCCTGCGTACTCTGAGTTCCCGCTCTGATACCAACTGAAAGTCTAACTGGCTAATACAAGAGGGGGGGTGAATTGTATTTGAGGTGAAATCTAAAAACTTTTTGCGGAATTTAACTAAATGAAATAATGACGAGAGAAGATATAGGCTTTTCTAAATTTCCACTATGTAATCAAACTCTTTACAAGTGAAGATTCAAACCCGTTAACAAGTTCCACAAATTAGGAACTTGTTCCCAACTCTCACAGAAGACTTCAGCAGCGAAGCTTCCTTGACCTCACCTTACACAAACTCACAATCCCAACCCCAAAGTACTTGAATACAATCTGTGATTACAAATACCTATTGCACTCAAGAATATAAGAAGGATACTAACTCTCTTTATGTTATTAGATGGCTACTGGAATTTTTATGCTCATGAGTTATATATTGTTGAGATAGTTTGCATGAGTATTTATAGAGAAGGCTTAGTCATTAACCTCCACTATAAACACGTCCACATGCCAACACCCCACTAACAACTTGTGGAGTTATCTTGACAGATGGTGATCATGAAGAGGTTTCCTAGCCTTATCTCACTAATCCACTATCTCAACAACTTGATAAACATTAGCCGTATAATCAGAGATTTTCACACAGAAAACTACTTGCTAACTTTATCAAAAATTTGTTTAAAAAGATTATCAAAAGTTTGTTTAAAAAGATTTTATTTGAAAAGATAAATTAATTATTTATATTAAAACAACTAGATAATTATCTTCGATAATTATCTTTATTAGAAAATAGATGACTAAATAAAACTTTTACAAATTATCTTTTCTGTAAGAAATTATCTTTTAAAACTAACTTTTATTCCAGTAGTCTTTTTAATAACATAAGTCATTGAGTTCCTTTCCGACTTTATATTATTGAGTGCTCACAATTAAAACTAGAACGTGAGATTTGCACGAGGCTTTTTAGAGAATGCTACTCCGCATCCAAGTTCCTACTCCGGAACGAACTTTGCTTGAACCCTTTATTCACCAAAGACTCAAAACATTCATTAGTCGAGTTTGTCAATTTGTCCATCAAAACCAAAAGGCTCAACAAAAAGGTATAATAATTAATAAGGGTATATGTTGTCAGTGTAATAAAGATTGCTCCATTTTTTCACAAGGGGTGAGGTTACACAAAGTGGCTAGCCTTATTAAAAACACGCTGAATAAATAATGAAGCCAGGGTTATAATAATAATTTAATGGACTTACCTTAACAGATAAAGGTTATTTTAATAGGAAACAAGATTACTACCTTCATGTTTTAATAACGTTACACTTATCAAATATGGTCGCTTTACGTTAATGTTACACTTGTTTTTTTTTTTTTTGGCAGAAAGCTACGTATTTATTTCCTTTCAAACTATTAAGCCCGGCTATATTTCTTCTACAATTTTTTTAATACTTCAACTACCCCCATTCACCTCTTATTTTATTTAGGAAAAATGGAATCTAAAAATCCAACCTTTGGCCGGTCTGACAATAAAAATCCAACCTTTCAGTAATCTCAAAAAAATCCAACCTTTGCCCCCCACCTTCTCCAACAGGTCCATTTGACCTTTAACTTGTTAAACCGGTTAAAAATTTTTTTTTTTTAATTTCCTTCTCACTCCTCTTCTTTCTCTCTCCTCTCTACACCACCACCACTTCTGCCACCACTTACCCCACCCAACCCAAACCCAAACCCTCTTCCTCCTCCTCCACTTCTCTACACCACCACCACCTCTGCCACCAATTAACCCTCTTCCTCCAACCGAAACTCAGCTAAACCACCCCAAAACCCTAACCATGAAACTCGGTTAAAAGGCTAATTTGGGTTGGGTTTAGGGTGGGGAGGGGTGGAAATGGGTCAGGGGTTGTCGGTTTGTGGTCGGCGGGCGGTGGGGAGGTTCGGGGAAGGGTCGGGCTGGTTTGGGAGGGTCGAATAGGGTGTTTGGTGTGGTGGTTAGGGTTTAGATCGTAGGGGGTTTGGTGGTTGGGGAGGTTGCGACAAGAGGTGGGAGGGGTGGGGGGAGATCGTCGGAATCCGGCGACCTCGATCGTGGGGTTGGTTGGGGTGGGGGGAAGTTGCCGAGGAGTGGGGGAGGTGGCTGGGGTGGTGCGGGGGCTAGGGGAGGTGGCTGGTGGTTTTTTTTAATTTTTTTCTGTTTTATTTTTTTGTTTTTTAATGATTAAAAAAATAATTGACCAATTAACGACTGACACGTGGCACATAACTTACAAAAAACGGTCATCAACAGGTAATGGACCTGTTGGAGAAGGTGGGGGCAAAGGTTGGATTTTTTTGAAATTACTGAAAGGTCGGATTTTTATTGTCAGACCGGCCAAAGGTTGGATTTTTAGATTCCATTTTTCCTTTTATTTAAATCAATTAAATTGACTAAAACTATGTGTCGGACAAAGTACTACAATGATTAAAGCACGGAGGTTTTATTATTATTGATCTGACAAGTATATTCAATATTTTAATAACCCATATCTTGTAGAGAGTTGAGAAAACGTTTATGAATAGTGTGAGAACAATTATATCCTTAACATATTTGTTTACCTATATGCCCCTATTGATGTGATGTTAATTGCAACTAAATCATTCTTTGTTTAATTTGATGAATACCTTTTATTTTTATGAATAATGTATTAATGTTTGAACCATTATACCCTCTAAAAAATTTATTTACTTATTTGCCATTAATGTTAATTGCTTTTTATTTTGAACCTGTTAAAAATAGTGTACGTACGTTTATACCCTTAATTATATTTGTTTTTACATATTGTTCATCATTGTCGTTGTCAATAAAAGGCTTTCTAAACATTGCTAATTATTGTAAAAGTTGTTAAAAACATGTACCGTACACCTGCCTAATTTGCTCATTAATTTTGCTCATTTAATAAATAAGCAAATAAATAAAAGAAGATGGCGGGGAAACAATACGGTAATAAATAAGGTTACTTAATTTTCCCTAAAATAAATTAAAAAAAAAAAAAAGTTACTTAATTTTTTTAATAAAGTAATTGATTTCACACGTATTAAATTGGGATTACACGGAATACTTCACAAGTAAAATTTTATAAAAAATAATGATAAAAATCTACTAGAATTATCTTTTAGCTCAAAACTCTTAAAAGATAAAGAAGAAAGAATCCTATTACGAGTAGATGTAAACTTGGTGGGCAAGAACTTACCCTAAATTAGACTAGGATTCGGAAACCTTATTAATTTTATCTATAAATTCAAAGCTTTCTCGCCATATTCTCTCATAGTTGAAACAATAACAATTCCTCTCTCTATAATTTTCTCAACTCTTTCGATCTTTTCACCTCTTAACCTAATTAGCAATGGCAGCATCAACCTCTTCTTCATCTTCGTACAAGAAGGTAATCCTAAGGAGTTCCGATAAAGAGACTTTCGACGTCGATGAAAAGGCAGCAATGCTTTCTCAAACCATCAAGAACATGATCGAGGACCTCGACGACAGCACCGATCCCATCCCGCTTCCTAATGTCACCGCTAAAACTCTCGCTAAGGTTATCGAGTATTGTAACAAACATGCTAATGATGATGATAACTCCGATCCCATACCACAACCTAATGATGAACTCAAGCAGTGGGATAAGGACTTCCTCAATGTCGACCAAAACACCCTCTTTGATCTCATTCTTGTAAGTATTTCTCTTTTATTTTAATATTTTTTCTTTAATTTAGTTGATTTCTGATTAACTTTAAATTCTTTCTTTTTCTCTAATTATTATATATATGCTACAAGTATTATTATCATTATGTTTATTATTAGTCTTTTATTTTTTTAGTGTCATGGTTCAAAAGTTTATAAAATATGATTTCTTTAACAGATTATTGAATTATTAGGGTTTATAATATAAAGAATTAATCTTATTGCTTAGGGTTTTGAATTTTGAAATTTATAAGATTTAAAGGACCTTCAACTATATTCAAATTATAGTTTAAGATTGGTTGATTATTTGTAAAAGTATTTTTATTTGACGAATCAATTCATGTCTCTATACATGTTGGTATTCAAGTCATAGTGTCATACGTGTTTTTCTTACAAATATTTGGTGTTTTCTTTTTTTAAGAATTATGTGGTTGATTAATACAATATTAATTACTTATTTGTTGATGAATTGTAGGCTGCAAACTACATGGATATCAAGGGATTGCTTGATTTAACTTGCCAACATGTTACCGATATGATTAAAGGAAAAGCACCGGAAGAGATAAGGAAGACATTCAACATTGTGAATGACTTTACACCCGAAGAAGAGGAAGAAGTTCGAAGGGAGAATCAATGGGCATTCGAGTGATAGAATGGAAATTACTAAGAATATCATTATGTTTCGTTACAATCTTTTTATTTCAAGCTATATTTTAATTAGTTTGATTCTTTGTTAAGTGTTGTTTATATAAACTATATATATTGCATTACTTTTAAGAATTAAAAATTTATTTTAATTGTGTATTTCACAATCTAGCGTAAAAATTGGTTTATTTTAATTGTGTATTTCACAATCTGAGCTGCATACGTGTTGGGGTGTTGTTAGCAGGGAAGCAGAAGATCCAGTCGGGGTTGGGCATTTGGGATAGGGTGGAGAGGCCGCACCCGACGGCCATGAGGAGGGATAGAGAGAAGGAGAAGAGATTGTAGATTACGGAGATGGAGCGGAGGGGTAATGAGACGGGCTGAAACGAGTAGCGGGAGAGGAGTAATGTAAAGGAGATGTAGGAAAGAACGGTGAGAATGAGGAAGTGAAGTGATGCACCATTTGTAGTTCCTGTTTTCCATTCAAAGTTGTGTATTGTTGTGTGATAAAATAGCTAGTTTTTGGCTGTTTTTATCACTGTTTCTATTGTTTTTTTGATATTTTTTGTTTGTGGGAAGTTTAATGACTTTAGAGGGAAGAGAATAGAATGTTAATGTTTATGTTGGATGACTCATTGTAACTTCTAAGATAATTTCCTTTTATATATAGAAGAATTGAAAGTCTATGTATCATTTGCTTTGAATTAGTCATAGATTTTGAGTGTGATGGACTCTGTCTTAAATTATCTTGAACTTGTTGAAACATTTTCATAATATATTTTAACTTATTATAAACTTATATCAACTTAAATTATAAGAAAAAAAAAATGAATCAAATAAACTCTTGGCCACTCTTTTCAAGAAAATTAAGCTTCACAAACTTAACATTCAATCCTAATTGAATTCAATAAGTCACCTTGTTTGAAGGATTCTCTTTGCTTACTTACTTCATAGAATCTACTCCCTCTCTTTCCAATTAAAAGTCTCAATGTCTCATTTAATTTACCTTTTGCAAAAGTTGTGTATAATCTCAAGTTCTCATGCTTGACTACTAAAAGTCGAATATAATCTCGGATTCCATATGAAACTGAAAAGTTAATTAATACTAAAATAACAACCGCTGACATCATTTTTAAATAAAAATAAAATGTACACGTGTCAGCTTCTCCTTAAATTTTCTCCCGCCTAAACTTTTTTTTCTTCCAATTTTCTTTATTTATTTTATTTTTTATTTAATTTTTATTTATTTTGGAAAGCTAAATATTTTATCTTAAGTTACATATAGCTATTTTTAAGGTAAACAAATATTAACCATGTATATATGTACTCCGTCTAATTACAAATTCCACTTAATTTTGTTGTAAGCATGAATTTTTTTTTCATTATACCAAGTACTATTTTAATTTTGTAGTTTGGTGTTGATTAATACAAAGGTTTTACATATTTTGAGTGATAATATGACTTGAAAATGCATGTATACAATTATAAATTCTTTTTATTATATATGTGCATTGCACGAGAGCTAATCTATAACTACACTAAAATAGGTACACTAGCTCCATGACTGACATGTGTCTCTGTCTTAGTTTAGTTTATTTTTGGTTAAAAATTGTAACCTATATATTTGTCAAAAATCTTATTCATATATATATATATATATATATATATATATATATATATATATATATATATATATATATATATATATATATTATTGCATATTTTTACCTAAGAATATTATATTATAATAATTGATTTTATGGAGTACTACATAATCTTTTCCAAAGATATATTTTTTCAAAAATCTTTTTCACAAATATTATTGCATATTTTTACATAAGAAAATATTTTTAAAGTGCTTATTTTATGGATTACTATATAATCTTTCTCAGCTGTAATAAAATTTTTGTCAAATAAATATTATATCTTTAACAAAACAAACATATATTTTGATTTGTATTAGTGTAATATAATTGCTTTTGTAAGCTCTTTATATTATATGTGTAGGATATTTTATACTTGAATTAACTTAAACTTTAAAAAATATACTTATACGATTACATTTTATTTAAATTAAGAAACTAGCTTAAATTAATTCCCAATATATTAAGATTTTTTTTATATAAATATAAATACTATTATGATTAAATTTTAATAAATCAATGGACACAAATTTATGACTCTTATTTTTAAAGTTATGATATTAGATTTAGCATTACTATACCCTATTAATTAGATTTGTCACGAATATTGTCTTTATAAGCCTACATGAGTCAAAAGTGTTGCAAATGGTAATACAAACAGAAAATTCTCGCGCCCGACCGAGCGGTAGTTTGCTCGATCGGGCGGTAGTTCGCCCGACCGGGCGGAATTGGCTAAGGAAAAAAAGGGCTCGCGCCCAAACGAGCGGTGGTTCGCCCGACCGGGCGGCGATGTCGAGTTTTGAAGAGCCCGATCGGGCAACTCTTGCCCGATTGCTCGCCCGGGATGAGATTTCCAGATCACCCGACCGGGCGGGTGTGGCCCGACCGGGCGCGACACCGAGCGGGTGTGTCCCTAGCGGGCGCGACACTGGGCGAGTGTGGCCCGACCGGGCGCGACACCAGGTCTGGTAAATTTCATCTCGCGCCCGATCGGGCGGCTGGTTGCCCGATCTGGCCCGCCTTTTTCCTTAGGTCGGTTTGTTTATTTGTCTCCTAATTTCGGGACACATATAAATACGAGCATTGCCTTTTCTATATTCATCATTCACTTTCAAACTTAAAACACAAACCTACCCTTTGAGATCTGAACAGTTCTTGAGCAATTTCACTCTTCATATTCGGGTGCACGGATTTCGGAGATAGTTGCGTTAAACTTGGGGGGCGTGCGTCACAAGGAAACTTGTACCGGTGGTGGCGTATTTCGCTTCTAAGGTAGTAGATTATTGTTCCGCGGCGCGACTTGAGTTTGAGATCTTCAATCCAGAAAAGTTCTAATATTTTGTTTGTTATTGATTTCAACAGTTATTTTAACAACAAAAAGTACTAATTGTTGATATATTCTTGAATATAGACACTACTATATAGTTGTTAGGTACAATTAAAATTTAAAATTATTCAATGGTCTAATAAGCAGACATAAGCACATAACTTACAATGATTTGTTAAAAAATCCTAATAACTTTTTTTCTTACAAATATATAAATCCTAATAATTGACGTCCAAAACTTTACTATAATATCATTAAAAATTATCCATCATGCATTTATATTCGCCAATTGTATAAACATAATTACATATATATGTCACATTTATTGTATGTTTGATTATATATCGTTAACAAAAAAATTATTAATGGTAAAATTGATTATGAGAAAATATAAGTTTATCTCCTTGATAAACAAAATATATTAATCAAATGATAAATATGTACATGAGTCTCATAGTTTTTTATTTATTAACCAAAATATCATGATGACTAAACAAAATGGCAAAATGTAAATCAATCAATAACTTTTTTGTCATATATGGGTCTCACTATTTTTAATTTATTTACCAAAATGCCATGATAAGTAGACAAAATTGTTGATTTATTTACGATTTTGCTTGCCCCTTAATAAACAAAATTTGTTTATCAAGGAAATAATTGGGACTTCCTCATTGATTAAATAAGATATTTTTACCCTACCATACATTTTATCAGTCTTTATATACACAAAAAAAAAAAAAAAAAAAAAAAAACAAAACAAAACAGTTGTATATAAACATCTTTAATTTGTATAGTTTAGTGCATAAAAGATTATCAGTTCCTCTATTTTCCTATAACAATGGTCAATTACAAATTATGAATAATTTAAAAACAAAATTACCGTTTTATGAAAAATCTAGAAAATTTTAATGAATTAAGAAAATATTTATTGTTTCGGATGAAAACAATGGGACCTTGCCGAAGGTCCAATGACGTGGATGAAGACTGGTCCGGTCCAAATGATGCTGAGCCAAAGGTTTCCTGCACAGCAAGCACACGTAAAACTGGCCTCGGGGGTGGATCCGAGGAAGACCCCTCCGATGCCGAAGTCAAATAGTGTTTAGAGAGAGAAAGCTATGCAAGAGAGTTAATGCTTGAGGCTTTGATGTGAATGAATGACAAATGATGTAATTGAAGGCTTTTATACCTTAGCATACAAGGAAGGAGGATACTTGGGCCGGAAATGGTCATGGGCTGACCATAACAATTTGGACCACTTGACTTTATGCTGACTTGGCTTAAATGGAGGCTTGGGCCTTGACCTTGGATTATTGGATCATTTAATGACTAGTCCCAATTAGCTTAATTGGACCCAAACATTTATTATTATATAATAATTTTATAACCAATAAAAACTTCTATCCTACATATATTAGTCAACTTTATATTACAATTTAGTTAAAAAAAATTAGAAAAAAAAAGGTCAAAGGATGTTAACTAATTATACTTTTGAGGACAATGATGGTTATAGGGTATAAATTCTGTTAAGGGATAATAATGGAAGTAGTTATTCCAACAAAAGGCAGAGATTGAGTATGAGAATATTTTTTTTAGTTGCAATATTATTGATGTCAAGAAAGCTATTTGAGCAGTTTTTGGCTAATGACTACACTATGATTGAGGCTAATAGATTTAACTACATTCGAACACATCAAAAACAATTGAGGTCAGAATAGTATAAGAATTTTGCTGATGCAGTTTTGAGAGGAGTCATTAATCCCTAATCTACAAGATTACGGATTGTCTTATTTTTGTCATTTACTGATAAAGCTAGATATATGATGCAAAATTTTAGGATGTCATGGCTATATATATGCAGGTGGTAGGGATATCCAAATCTATTAATCACATTTACATGCAATCCAAAGTGGTAAGAAATCACTAGATTTGTTCAAAAGATAGGACTTAGACCAAAGAATAGGCCACACATCCTATGTAGGTTTTTTAAAATAATAATATGAGGCATGTAAAAATATATGTACCACCCTATAAGAAAAATTATAATTTTCATTTTTATCATATAGATTTTGGTACTAATTTTATATATGTGTAGCCAACCATCATAGAGTAGGTTACTCGGTTAGTGTTGTAAGGGTTACAGTTAGTGTTATAGTTGTTACTTTGTCAGCGTTGTACTTTGTTATTTAAGGGTTACTTAATAAGTATAGTAGGACTTTGTTCACTTCACCTTATACTCTTACAGATATAATATTTGGTAAAAACAATTTTAGTTTAGTATAAATAAGTTCAATGAGGTATATTTAATTTCAGTTCAGTAAAAAGCAATTATTGTAAAGAACAAATATAATAGAGAAATAATTTTAAAAAATATATAAACTAAAATAATTTCAATTTAGTAAAAATAATTTCATTTAAGCAAATATAAGGTGAAGTGAACCGGGATTAGAAGTTAATATATCAATATACTAAGGGTTATTTTGTTAGTGTCATAAGGGTTAATTACTCTGTTTTTTTACAGGCGGTCACACAGTATAACCAGCCGCACAGAAAATATGTTGTAGATATTGTATATGTCGTCATGGGTGATATGTAAGAATGATATGCAATTTTTTGCATCTCTTGTATGCTTGCATTGTATATTTATTTATTTTTTTTATTTACTATTATATATATGCAATAAAAAATTAAATAATTAGGTATAATAAAACAAAATTAAAAAAAAAAAAAAAAAAAAAGACAGATAATCAAACAATTGACAAGCCTAAACATTATTCAGAATTTAAATTTAGGAAAAAAAAATATTATACTTCGTATTAAGCTTTTAATTTTAGGTAGGTAAATTTTTTGTTGTAGAAGGTGCAATAGGAGTGTGGTGATGATCAAGTGAATTTATAATGTAATAAAATGAAGGTAGTAAGTGATGGGATCAAAAATCCTATTTTAAAAAATTTCATGTTAAAATTTAAGTGTTTAGAGGCCATAGAGGAGAAAAAAGATACGAAATTATCAATGATACACGTAATATAATATATAGTGATCATAGTGTTATTACGATGGTAAACTTTTCCAAATATATGTTGAGTTAGAGGACGGAGATAGTCATTTAAAAGGCAAATTCTTATATGTGTTTGGCCACACCGTGTGGCATGAGTTATTTGAGTTACTCGGAATAGGGTTACTTGAGGGGTTCAGTTAGAATTGAAGTTACTTGAGGGGTTCAGTCAGGGGTTTATTAAATATATACTCGGTCATGGGTTATTTAAGAGGTTACTCGGTCAGGGGTTATTCGAGAGGTTATTCGGTCATGAGTTACCTGAGTTACTCAGTCAGGGTTTACTTTAGGGGTTCGGTCAGGGGTGACTTGATCAGGGGTTCGATCAAAGATTAGTTACTCGGTCATGTGTTACTTAAGGGGTTACTCGGCCAGGGGTTTCTCGAGGGGTTACTCAGGTTACTCTAGACCTGGCAAAAAGGTCATTCAGGTCTGGTTCGAGTCGTGTCAATTCAGGTCGGGTCAAGTTCGGGTCAGCAAACGTTCGGGTCGGATTCGAGTTCGGGTCGAGTCGGGTTGATTCGGGTCAAAATCGGGTCAGCACTTCGGGTCAAGTTCGGGTCAGGTCAAGTTCGGGTCGTGTCAATTCGAGTCGGGTCTGTTCGAGTCGGGTCAATTTTTAAGATCAATTTTTGGGTCGGGTTAAATTCAAATCGAGTCAATTCGGGTCAGATCTATTTGGGTCAAGTTTGTATCGGGTCACCAAAATAAATTCACTTTAAAAAATAGTTGGAAAAATAAAGTAAAATTATTATTATATATATATATATATATATATATATTATATGAGTACATATTACATAGGAAAATTAAGAAGCCCTAAACTAAGTAATTCACTATTTGACCCTATTCACTTAGGATTCGGGTCAATTCGGTCGGGTCACTACAGGTCGGGTCGATTCGGGTCAATCAATTTGGGTTAAAATCGGGTCGGGTCACTTCGGATTTCGGGTCATTTCGGGTCAGGTCAAGTTCGGGTTTCGGGTCAATTGCGGGTCAAGTCATTCGGGTCGGGTCACATCGGGTCATGTTCGGGTCAACTCTATTTCGGGTCGGGTTGGGTTAGTTCGGGTTCGGGTCATTTCGGGTCAACTTTCGGGTTACGGGTTGGGTCATTCGGGTTGGGTCAATCAGGTCGGGTCAGGATTGCCAGGTCTAGGTTACTCTATTAGGGTTTAATTTAGCAGTTACTTGAGGGGTTCGGTTAGCTGTTACTCAGCCGTCATGGGTTACTTGAGGTGTTCGGTTAGGGATTAATCTGTCATGGGTTATTCTAGGAGTTACTCGGTCATGGGTTACTCGGTCATGAGTTATAAAACCTATTATGAGTTACACTATGCTTTCTGCGTATTTTGTTTTATCTGTATATTTTCTGGAAGACTTGTAAAACCAAATATCAACAGTCTTGACTCTTCTTTATCAGTACGAGTAAATGTAAACTTGGTGGGCAAGGACTTACCCCGAATTAGACTAGGATTCGGAAACCTTATTAATTTTATCTATAAATTCAAAGCTTTCTCGCCATATTCTCTCATAGTTGAAACAATAACAATTCCTCTCTCTATAATTTTCTCAACTCTTTCGATCTTTTCACCTCTTAACCTAATTAGCAATGGCAGCATCAACCTCTTCTTCATCTTCGTACAAGAAGGTAATCCTAAGGAGTTCCGATAAAGAGACTTTCGACGTCGATGAAAAGGCAGCAATGCTTTCTCAAACCATCAAGAACATGATCGAGGACCTCGACGACAGCACCGATCCCATCCCGCTTCCTAATGTCACCGCTAAAACTCTCGCTAAGGTTATCGAGTATTGTAACAAACATGCTAATGATGATGATAACTCCGATCCCATACCACAACCTAATGATGAACTCAAGCAGTGGGATAAGGACTTCCTCAATGTCGACCAAAACACCCTCTTTGATCTCATTCTTGTAAGTATTTCTCTTTAATTTAGTATAAGTATTATTATTATGTCTTTTTTTATTTTTTTAGTGTTACGGTTCAGAAGTTTGTAAAATATGATTTCTTTAACAGATTATTATTATGATTTATAATATAAAGAATTAATCTTATTACTTAGGGTTTTGAATTTTAAAATTTATAAGATTCAAAGGACGGTTAACTATATTTAAATTATAGTTTAAGATTCGTTGATTATTTGTAAAAGTATTTTTATTTGACGTGCCAATTCATGTCACTATATAGGTTGGTATTCAAGTCATAGTGTCATACGTGTTTTTCTTTACAAATATTTGTGGTTTTTTTTTTAACAGAAGTATGTGGTTGATTAATAAAGAATTAATTATTATTTGTTGATGAATTGTAGGCTGCAAACTACATGGATATCAAGGGATTGCTTGATTTAACTTGCCAACATGTTGCCGATATGATTAAAGGAAAAGCACCTGAAGAGATAAGGAAGACATTCAACATCGTGAATGATTTTACACCGGAAGAAGAGGAAGAAGTTCGAAGGGAGAATCAATGGGCATTCGAGTGATAGAATGAAAATTACTAAGAGTATCATTATGTTTCGTTACAATCTTTTTATTTCAAACTATGTTTTAATTAGTTTAATTCTTTGTTAAGTATTGTTTAGTAAACTATATACATTGCATTACTTTTATGAAATAAAAATTTATTCTTTGAGCTTTTAGTTTATTTGCTATCTAAAAAATCAAAAGTTAAACAACAAGAAACTAAGTAGTCAATGATACTTATTCCGTAATTGTAATTCTTATTCTTTAAAAGTATATCAATGTGTCGTTCTATGAATTATATTTCTAATTAACAAGAAAACGTTCATGTAAACTACAATTTTAGACCTCAAGATAGAACTATTATGATACATCTTTCAATTATAAGCAGGGAATAAGTATTAAAGACATTAATGGGGTATTGATAGAGTAAGGTGAAATATACAAAAAGATTAAAAAATGAGTTTTATAAATTCAGCTCAGAATAAGATTTTATTCAAAACATTAAAATCAGTATAATTTGCCGTAAAACGAGCTTTACAATGTTAATGAGATGAATTAAAATCAGGTGGCCTTACCAAATTTGCTTACTCCAATAATTCGACCTAAAGCCCACAAGTTCGTTGGATCATTATCAAAGCACCAACCCATTCTAGCTCATTATGTATCTTCAAACCATTAGCCATCTATTGCCGTGGTAGTCATACATGTGCCTGACGATTTGAACCCAATATGAGCTGCATAAAATTTTGGCAATGACTTCAGAGCTTCCACCCTTCCAAATATGTACTATACAAAAATAGGGAATAGGGTACACTAGTTCAATGACTTACATGTGTCCATGTTTTAATTTAGTTTATTTTTGGTTTAAAATTGTTACGTGTATAAATGTCAAAAATCCAATTCATATATATTATTGCATATTTTTACATAAGAATATATTTTTAAAGTACTTATTTTATAGAGTTCTCTATATAATCTTTTTCAACTGTAAATAAACATGCAGGGGCGAAGCCAGGTTTTTCAAGTCCCGGGGTCCGAACTTATTAGACAAAAGATTGATGAAAAAATTAAAGTGTACTAATATATTATTGTCACAAAAAAAAAAAAAAAAAAAAAAAAAAAAAAAAAAAACATTAGTTAAATCGTACTCGATGATTTTTCATAGTAGCAAAATCATTAATCAAGGATTAAACACTAAAATCTACGACAATCTCTTTTTCTATGTATACAACCAAAACATCTCTAAGAAAATCATCTTCCTTTTTACTCGTTAGTTAAATTTTGACGATATACATTACAGAAAAGACCCTCTTCTTGTTGAATATTAATTTTTTGTAAAAAAAATTTGCCTTTACAGTGGAACCCTCCTCTTGTTGATTATTAACTTTTTTTGTAAAAAAAAAATCTAGTGTTTTTTATTTCATGATTTAATCTATATGAACCCAGCCTACTTGGAAAAATAAAACATTACCCAACCAACATGACAAGGCATATTTATTCTTATAATTGTGTCTTAAATATTATATATATAGTAATTTTAAGGGAGGCCATAAACTATAATGTATGGGCAACAAATCTGGGCCGGGGAGGCCGGGCCTCCACCAGCCCCCCCCCCCCCTTCCCTTCGCCCTTGTAAACATGTATAAAATCTTTGTCAAATAAATATTATATCTTTAAAAAAAAATTTACTTTGGTTTGTATTAGTTTAATATAATTCCTTTTATAAGCTCTTTATATTATATTTGTTTTGTGTCTCGTGCGATGTCGGGTTGTTTATTGAATCACTGATACAAAATTAGTTAGAAATTAATTTGATTTATTGACGATTTGCTATCTAGTAAGCATGAAATGACTAATAATAATATTGGTGGAAAGGTTCGATTTAGTACATAAAAAAAATAAAATAAATAAAATAAATGTTCAAAACTCATTGGTTGACCCGAACCTAAAACTTTGGGCAAGGGTTGAACATTTCTTGTCTCGTAACATGAAGTGACTCAATCTTAGATAACTCATGACCCAACCCTTAATTGACAGCTCTTCATAGTAATAGAATTCTGTTAGATTGTAAAGTATATTATTTTAATCGATTAGTATATATTATAAATGGATGTTTTACGCTTTGAGCTACTACCTTCGCTCCAAAAAATATTATAATATAAAAATATAAATTTATACGATAATTTTTTAGAATTATAATCTAATAATTTTTTTGAATAAAATTACAATTCAATTTGTACATCTGAAATATTAGTATTTTATCGAAAATAAACCTCTAAACTAACAATTTTATCCTAAAATTCTATTCAAGTAGATTTTTAAACATATTTATCTATCTTATGAAATCTATTTAAATCTATCCAACGTGGCGTGACACTTGGCGAAAAATTGAAACGTCAAGTGTCGTTACCTCTTGATCTGGCTAAAAGTTTAGCTTTATATATTAGATATAATATCTGTAGAATATTTTATACTTAAATTAAATTAAGATTAAAAATATTCTTATAAATATTATATTAAGATTGCATTCTATTTAAATTAAGAAACTAGCTTAGTTCCCAATATATTAAGATTTTTTAAATAAATGCAAATACTATTATTATTAAATTTTAATAATCAATTGACACAAAATTATAACTCTCATTTTTAAAGTTATGACATTAGATTTAACATTAATATACCCTACTAATTAGATTTGTCACGAATATTGTCTCTATAAGCCTATATGAGTCAAAAGTATTAACTATGATATCATTAAAAATTATTCATCATGCATTTATATTCACCGGTGGTATAAACATAATTACGTATATATGTCACATTTATTTTATGTTTGATTATATATCATTAACAAAAAAAAATTATTAATGGTAAAATTGATTATGAGAAAATACAAGTTTATCTTCTTGATAAACAAAATATGTTAATCAAATGACAAAAATGTAAATAAATAATAATTTTGTGCCATATATATGAGTTTCAATGGTTTTTTTTTTATTTACCAAAATACCATGATGACTAAACAAAATGGCAAACATATAAATAAATCAATAACTTTTTTGTCATATATGGGTCTCACTATTTTTTATTTATTTACCAAAATACCATGATAACTAGATAAAATTGTTGGTTTATTTACAATTTTTCCACTTAATAAACCAAATTTGTTTATCAAGGAAATAATAAGGAAATAATTGGGACTTCCTCATTGATTAAATAAGATATTTTTACCCTACCATACATTTTATCACTTTTTATATACCAAAAAAAAAAATCCATATGTATATAAACATCTTAAATTTGTATAGTTTAGTGCATAAAAGATTATCGGTTCCTCTATTTTTCTATAACAAAAGTCAATTACAAATTATGAATAATTTTTTTAAAAAAATTACTGTTTTATGAAGAATTTAGAAAATTTTAATAAATTAAGAAAATATTTATTAATAATAATATTTATAGCCAATAAAAAATTCTATCCTACATATATATATTAGTCAACTTTATATTACAATTTAGTAAAAAAATAAATTAATTAATTAAAATAAAAAAAAAGGTCAAGGATGTTAACTAATTATACTTTTAAGGACAATGATGGTTATAAGGTAGAAATTCTATTAAGGGATAATAATGGAAGTAGTTCTTCCAACAAAAGGCAGAGATTGAGTATGAGAAAAAAAAATTAGCTGCAGTATTATTGATGTCAAGAAAGTTATTTGAGCAGTTTTTGGCTAATGTCTACACTATGATTGAGAGTTGTGACTAATAGATTTAACTACATTCGAATAAATCAAAAACAATTGAGGTCAGAATAGTATAAGAATTTTGTTGATGCAGTTTTGAGATGAGACATTGATCCCAAATCTACAAGACTATGAATTGTCTTGTTTTGGTCATTTACTGATAGTGCTAGATATATGATGCAAAATTTCAGGATGTCATGGCAATATACATGCAGGTGGCACTAGTAGAAAATATCAAAAAGGCACCCCCTAATTGGCACCGGTTCAGTCCAAACCAGTGCCAAAAATGGCCTACAAAATTAGTGGAAAACTGAACCAGAGTAAAAGGCACCGGTTCACTTCAAACTGGTGCCAAAAACAAATAGGCCACCGGTTTGAACCGGTGCCTTTTGAACCGGAGCCATTAAAAAAAACGGTCCTTTTAAACCCACCCCAACCCTAAAACTACTCCTCTCATCCTCTTTCTCTTTCTCTCTCCTCTCATCTCCTCCTCTTTCTCCATTCTCGATCTCCTTCTCCTCAAATTGAACCAGTTTTTTTTTTATTTATCTTTCTCATTCTCCTTCTTCTCCTTCTAATTCTCTTTAGTTTTTCAATCTTCTTCTCCCTCACAATCACGAAGAACACATGCAACATCTCGATTTTCTGGGTTTTTGAAGACCACATGCAACATCTCGATTTTCTGGGTTTTTGAAGACCACATGCAACACCGATTTGTGAGGAAATTTATGGGTTTTGTTTTAATTTTCTGGGTTTTTGTTTTAATTTATTTTTTAATCGATTTTTTTAAAATTTTAATCGATTTAAATTCTTTTTTTTTCTGGGTTATTGGTTAGATCGATTTCAATCAAATTTCTGGGGTTATTGTTTTGATTTTAATCGAATTTTTGGGTTTTTTTTTTAAATTTTAATCGATTATAATTTGAATCGAATTTTTAATCTTTTTTTTTTAATCAATTTCGATTTTGATTTTTTTTTCAGATTTAAATCGGATTTATTTTCGATTTCAATTATTTTTTGTTTCTGGGTTTTTCGAACACCGATTTTAATTTTTTTCGAATTCTAATTTTTTTGCATTGGTTTTTTTTATTTTAATTTTTTCCAATTTCTGGGTTTATTCGATTTTAATTTTTTTGCATTTGTTTTTTTTATTTTAATTTTTTCTAATTTTTGGATTTATTCTAATTTTAATTTTTGCATTGGTTTTTTTTATTTTAATTCTTTTTTCTGGGTAACACCGATTTCAATTTTTTTTTTCGTTTTCTGGGTTTCTGGGTTTGAATTTTTTTTCAATATTTGGGATTAAATTTCTGGGCCTTTTCTTTCGAAGTTTAATTATATTAATCGATTTTTTTTTGTTTTAATTGGTGCAGGTATGTTATTTAGATCTGAAATCGAAGAAGCAAGATACAAGCAAGAATGAATGAGTTTTATTTTTATTTTTTTTTTAATTTATATTGTAATTTTTTTAAAAATTTTATATTGTAATTTTTTTTTATATGCTGTAATCAAAGTTTTTTTTTTGTTGTAATTTTTTTTTATCATATATTGCAAATTTTCGATTCTTGTAGATATGTTGCAATTTTCGATTCTTGTTGATATATTCCAAATTTTCGATTCTTGCTAATATGTCGCAAATTGGCTGGAAAAAACAAAAATATATATATATATATATATTTTTGGGCATTTTTGGCACCGGTTAACCGGTGCCAAAAACAACAAAATAATTTTTGTTGGCCATTTTTGGCACCGGTTAACCGGTGCCATTTCTAATTTTTGGCACCGGTTTGAACCGATGTCTTATTAAACCACTTTTGGCACCCCTCACATAGGCAGCGGTTCAAACCGGTGCCTTAGACCGGGTTTGAACCGCTGCCAAATGCCTTTTTTCACCTAGTGTGGTAGGGATATCCAGATCTATTAGTCACATTTACATACAATCCAAATAAAGTGGCCAAAAATCACTAGAATTGTTCAAAAGATATGACTTAGACCTAAGGATAGGCCACACATCCTATGTAAGTTTTTTAAAATAATAATATGAGACATGTAAGTGTATATGTACCACCCTATAAGAAAAATTATAATTTTCATTTTTATCATGTAGATTTTGGTACTAATTTTATATGTGTGTAGCCAACCATCATAGAATTACTCGGTTAGTGTTATAGTTGTTACTTTGTTAGTGTTGTACTTTGTTATTTAAGGGTTACTAAATAAGTATAGGGGTGTATAAAAACTGGTTCGGACCTGAAAATCGACTTGAACCGGACCTGTTAGGACTGGACCTGATCCGGACCTGTAGATTCAGGTCCTTTCAGGTCTGGTCCGTGTAAAACCCGGAATTTTCAAGTCCGGACCTGAAACCGGTAAAGCTACTTTTTTAATTAATAAGTCTAAACAGGTCCATAAACGGGTCCATAACAGGTCCAAACAGGTCAGCAATTTTATATAATTTTTTTTTAAAAAAAAAAACAATAATCAAGTCTATTCAGGTCAAAACCCGGACCGGACTTGATTTTTCAGGTCTGGATCGGAACCGGGCCTGTTGATTAAGTTCCGGTCTTTGGTCCTTAAAAATCAAGGATTCGGGTCCCAGTCCATTCCGCTCTGGGTCAGGTTCGGTTCGGTTTTGGACCGGTGTACAGCCCTAAATAAGTATAATAAGACTCTATTCACTTCACCTTAAACTCTTAAAGATATAATATTTGGTAAAAATAATTTTAGTTTAGTATAAATAAGCTCAATTTAGGTATATTTAATTTCAGTTCAGTAAAAAGCAATTACTTTAAAGAAGAAATATAATGGAGAAACAATAAAAAAAAATTATCAACAAAAATAATTTCAGTTCAGCAAAATTAATTTTAGTTCAGTAAAAATAATCATTTAAGAAAATTAATTTTTATGTGTGTTTGGCCACACCGTGTAGAGTTACTTGAGTTACTCGATTAAGGGTTACTTGAGGGGTTCGGTTAGAATTGAAGTTACTTGAGGGGTTTGTTCAAGGGTTAGTTAAATACTCGGTCATGGGTTATTTAAGAGGTTACTCGGTCAGGGGTTATTCGAGGGGCTACTCGGTCAGGGTTTGCTTGAGGGGTTCGGTCAGGGGTTACTTGATTAGGGGTTCAGTCAGGGATTAGTTACTCGGTCATGGGTTACTTAAGGGGTTACTCAGTCAGGGGTCACTCGAGGGATTACTTTGTTAGGATTTAATTTAGCGATTATTACTTGAGGGGTTCAGTTAAAGGTTACTCCGCCGTAATGGGTTACTTGAGGGGTTCGATTAGGGGTTACTCGGTCATGGGATACTTTAGGGGTTACTCAAAGGGTTACTCGGTCATGAGTTACTCGAGTTATTCGGTCAAGGGTTTACTCGATGGGTTTGGTTAGGGGTTACGAGTTACTCGGTCAAGGGTTATTTAAGGGGTTACTCGGTCAGAAATAACTCAAGTAATCCCTGACCATAAGTCGAGTGACCACACTCTGTGACTAGCCACACAGAAAAATTCTCCCATTTAAAAATGCAGTGGCCAATGGCACAAGTAGACGTGAGGGGAAAAATATGACTTAATGTGGGAATTTTTTTTTTTTTTGATAAGAAATTAATGTGGGTATTAATTGTTAGTTCATTGAGTTGAATTATTTTTCAAATCTTTCCATACAATTAAAGAATAAAAACAAAAAAATGGTTGTTTTCAAATAGCACTTCACATATTATTATTTTGAGAGTTAAAAATATATTATTAAGACATTTTATAAGTAAATTTCATTATTACTCATTAAATCATTTTATTTTAAAATTTTGTGAAATAAATATAAGTATCAAGATTTGTAAGCCGTGCATCGCACAGGTACTATACTATTGTTGTAACTATAAGCAATTCCCGAGTAGATGTTGAATACTGCATTATGTTGCAAAGGTCGCAATAAAGACCGTGATCAGGACGGACCGATGTTAAAGCTCACCATTGTTTATCAAATCATTGCGATGCAACTTCCATAAGAAAAGCTTCCATTTTGATTGCATGTGAAGCCCAAAGATTCTTCCAGAAGTTGGAAGTGTTATAAAACCTATTATAAGTCACACTCTGCTTTCTGTGTATCTTATTTTACCTGTATATTTTATGGAAGACTTATAAAACCAAACTAGCCTTCTGGCCTGTGCAATGCACGGATTGTTTATAGGTATGTAATATAATTTTTAATTTTATAATACTCGTATATTTTTTATTGGAAAATTAATAGTTATAAAGAAGAATAAGGGGTGAAAATTGAATGTAATTGTAGAAAATATTAAGTTGGGGGAAAGTGAACCAAACATTCATTCATGTATTGAATTAAAACTAGTGTATTTTTTTAATATGAGAAAGATTAAATGAGATGACATGTGACATTGGTGAAAAATATAATTTACATGTGGCATCATGAGGATGATGGTTTGTGTTTTTAAATACTAAGTATAGATATCAATAGTCTTGAGTCTTCTTTATCAGTTAGAATCCCAACAGTGATTGTGTCGGTCACAAACTCACAAGTCTCAAGATACAATTCTTCATATCCGCGCTGTGGTTGTAATTTTTGTAAACAGTACCTACACACGGACTAAGGACGGCCTTGAGAGCCGACCAAAGACACTCCTCAGAGAACCATTTACGTCATACAACAGTTCCCTAACAGCATTGATAGCTGGAGTTAATTTGTATGATTGTAATGTTTGTGACGATCAGAATCCTGCCAACGTAAACAATAAAAGAATGCACTGCTCACCAATGTAATATGTAACAAAATACATTTACCGAAACAAATACTCAACCTACTCTTCTAGGAAAGAAAAAAGGAAAAATTGCCACAAATTGGGCTACACGAAACTTTAATCTAAACTACAGTCTAATAGTCTATAATGGTACACATTCATGATGTCCTAAAAAGTACAATTAGTTAAGACAACAAAAAAGAAACCAATGTCAAACATAGAGACAGAGCAGGCATTACACACTTTCAAAACAGGTACCCCTGCGCATTTTCTGTTCAAATGAAGAGCAATTAAGCATCTCCAGCAGCAACCGGAGCAGGGCCATTGGAACGCCCACCTCGGCCACCCCTTCCACGACCTCCTCCCCTCCCGCGACCACGACCTGTAATAAAAATAAAAAAGCACAATCACGTATCAGATCAGTCTGTCTTGGTAGCAATTAATTCAATCCTGTCAAGACTATAGACAGCAGAAATTAAAAAACAGACAGCCAGGTGTTACCCCCACCAAGTAACAGAAGAAAAAGAAGAAACAAAAAAAAAAAAAAAAAAAAAAAAAAAAAAAAAAAAACACCAGCATAAAAAGTTATGATGATTGCTCTGACCTATTGAATATCAGGTCCAACCCTTAACAAGTGGAGGCTGTGCAATTGCACAGGACCCATATGCTGCTAAGGCCGTTTGGAGCCTCAAATAAGTGTAAGAATATTAAAATAGAACAGTTTCCAGTCTGCTAGATTAAGAAGAGCCAAAAATGACAGATGATCTAGAAAGGGTTTAATCTTATGTTTCAAGTATTATCCCTTAAAGACTTATAAACAACTCGACACATCATCCACGATTTGCTACAATTGCATTAAATTTTAGACAGTAAATTGGATAAGGGCCCGATTCATTCTTAATCGCATAGGGCCTCCATAATCATTGGGACGGCCCTATAGAAAATCTAGGTACATGGACAAGCCTAACACCATATTATCAGAAGATAATTAAACAATCACATGATTTGATCAGCCTGTCACGTTCAAAGCTCAATTGTAGGAACAAGGACCTAATTCTATGAGCTTATGTTCAACTCAACAAACATATGAAAATTATGGACAATTAAGGAAGAATTACCACGGCCTTGAACAGGTGGTGGGCCTCGCACGTAACCTCCTGCGTCTTGCTGGGGATCTACCATAGGACCATTGTAATTGAACCCTCCCCTTCCACGGCCACGAAAGCCACGGCCCCTTCCTCTCCCCCTACCCCTGGGATAGCCTCGGTTCTGATCCCAGCCTCCGTCATCATAATCAGCAGACATAAATCCATTGCCTGAAATAGATGGTCATCATATCCCCATATCTTAATATGTAACAGAATACCTTATAAATACATTTAACAGTCTCTCTAATGAAAGACAGATTTTAAAATACACTCATGTTAGACCAAGAGAAACTGCCTCAATTTCACAAAGTTACACCAAAGAACATATGTACCAAAGGAGAGGCTTGTACACAAATCCGGGTCAAAAAATTAAAATTACAATTAAAAGGATGCAGAAACGACAAACCTGGTGGACCTCTGCCCCTTCCCCTTCCTCTACCACCACGACCCCGGCCCCGGGCATTTGGAGAGCCCTCTAAAAATTAGGTGTTCAAAATTAGGAATTTTAATAAATAACTTTGACAATCAACTCATGGTAGACATATAATACCTCCTTCATAATAATCATAATCATTTGATGCTTTCACTTGATCAGCGGGCAATGGAGGCTGATACCTATAGAATAATACACAGAAGGATTTCTGTTGTAAGATAAGCAGGACAATAAAAAACAATCCACAAGAAACATAATCTGTATTATATTAATATATTCTCAAAAGTCAAAAGCTCAGATCCCATATTCCAAAAAATGAAAGAAAAGTAAAGGAAATGAATTAGTTCAGATGGCCACAAAATTTTTAAAAAATATGTAAGATGAATAATTCGGGAAGAGATAAAAGACAGTAAAAGACTCCTACAAAATACTGTAGCTAGATTACCTATCATAGTTATAACAACTGACACTTTCATGATTACACTAGAAAAGAAAAAGATTATCAGGTAGAATCTCCCACTGATATTGGCTACAACACCAACCAAAGCCAGGAATACTGTAAGTTACATGAAATTTAAATCACAGGAAAGAAAGTAACATTTATCAGTTATTATATCACCAACTATACATTGTTACAGACTAACATCAACCTTTTTCATCCAGCCTGTGTCACAACAAATTTAACCACAACTTAATATTACAAAAACAGTAAGCAGCAAATACCAACTCACCCAATTGCAGATGTGTCCTTCTCATTCTTTGAAAGGGTAATAGTAATCATCGAAACATGCCTCGTGGTTTCAATACTGCAATAACAAATGTGACAATCAGAGATCAGGTGATATAAGTAAATGCATGTTGTGAAATCAAAGCAGCAATAAACTTAACTTAAACCTAGACAAGAAATAGGTACAAACAAAGGTAAAATTAGCCTGCTCAAAACATACGAGAGAATTCTTACATATTAAGGCCTTCCTCTAATGGTTCCCATGTATCAGTGATACCTGTGGATCCAATTGATGTGATTTGGTGCAAGCCAACAATTCTTCTCTGCAAAGGAGTATAACAGAATAAAATGACAAAGTACTTTGAGCCAAAAACTCAGAAAGATTATGTATGAAACAAGAAATACCTTAATCAGCTCCACAATTGTCACAGTCTTGTTAATTGCTCTACCCATAGCCTTGAACACAATTTCATCTGAACCTTTCTCCTGAAATTAAGACAATAATAAATTTAGAAATCATACACAACAGAAACATAACAAAATGCTTTCAAGGAGACAAGAAGGAAGATCTAAAAGAGAAATGCTTTTGCAAAGTCACCACCAACACGTCAAATTGTAAATAAACAGAACAAAACCAAACCCAACCTACATGTGAATGTTTAAGGTACATGTAGTGAACATCTTCAATGTCAAAGAAAATCTATCATCTAATTAAACACCATATTTATTGGTCAACACAATAGTTTCTAGGGGTTAGAAATCAGAACTGGTGTGTTAGAAGAAAATTACTACTCAGTTTGACAAAAGAAAATTACTACTCAGTTTGACAAAGCTATGGAAGTTGTTTTTGGGAGACAGGTAGTTACATGATAGCACAATGTGCTGGGCCCCTACAAAGAGAGCTCAACAAAAATGATTTTCCACGACATTCCACGAGAAAACTATTTTGTATGGTAAAAAGACAAAAATTGCTCCATATTTCCATAGTAGCAGTAAACTAGTAACAGGGTAATCAAATCAGTTCAACAAACTCTTAAATAGATTAAATACCAAACTTGTTGACCTTCAAATCCACTTGCACTTTTTTTCTGTCTAATTCCAGCCCAAATTTATAAGCTATGTTTTCTATCCATATTGCAATTCAAACAAACAAAATTTCCGTCAACAGATATGTAACATAGAGCAAGAAAAGTTGGGAAACATAAGGCACATTTTTTTAATCAAGAATTCAAGAAAATGGCCAAAAAGCTCCAAAATGATTCAGCTGCCCTCAGTTCATTTCCCTCCAAGCACTTCCCTTTCTCACCTCACTTTATTTGCATATGTTACGCTCAATCCTCCTGGTTCTTCTGTTTAAACAAGTTTCACTCTTCACTTCTCTCTTCACTGATTCCTACCTTTGCCAAGTTATCCTGCACCCAACCCTCCAAGGCTCCAACAGACATTTTCTTCATTCGCATTGCACAGCACTCAGAAATCAAATGTGTTGCCTACTCCCTTTGATCGAAAATACCAGTGCTAACCAATAAAAAATTGTCGAATTTCTTAAACTAGTGAAGGTTTATGATTGGATTTTCCGAGCAAAACTATCATAAAAAATCTCAGTGAAATCATTACAACTCCTCCCTCAATTCAAATATGAATGAATTTCTTACAACGAGTAGTCCCGTTAACATTACAATTTACAACTCCTCCCTCAATTCAACTTTAATTTGAGCAAATTACACCATTAACATTTTGTATAATAGAAAATAAGGAGGTTCACCATTTCACTGTCTCAAATATAGAGTCACCGCCGAGGTAGTATAATATGAAGCCAGCCAAATTCACTACAGTATCATTTATCCCAATACCTCAACATTAAGTGCTACTCATACAATAAAGCATCAATTTGAAAAAAAATTAAAAAAATTACACTACCTTTTCACAAAAAATTTGAAACAAGTAAGCACCTATTAAATAATTCAATTAATCATATAATAATTAACCTAGTACAACAATAAATAACAAAAAATCAACCAAATATACAAATTCATCAAAAAAAAAATTGAAAAAATATTAATTAATTACGAAAAAAACCTGTAGAAGAGTCATGGCGTAAGTGATATAGCTGCGCATCCTGCCTTGACTAGTAATGCGAATCTCATTTTCATCAATCGGAGTTTCCACTTTCGGCTTCTCAACCTTTACGTATTGTTCCATTTTCTCTTTGAATTTGTTTTTCTGCAACAAAAATTAATTAATTTTTAATAAAAACAGCCAAAATTAATTCAAAAAAAATTAATTAGATTGCAGAAAACCGGAGAAAAGGTTGAATCTGGGTAAAAATTAAGGAGAGAGAAGATGAAGAAAACCTTGAAGAGTTAGAGAAGGTAGCCCTGATGTTCGGCTTTGTATCTTCTTTTTCAGCCCTAAAACTGCTGACTGGCTTCTTCTATTGCTTTTATACTCCTTTCAAAACTACCCTAACCACCTTCTTTTTGAACGGTTTAATCCGGTTTTCTTTATTTAATTACCGGTTTGAGTTGGTGTTTTCTACCGGTTCAATATTTAATCCCTAATAAGTACAAACTCTTTATTCTCTAGGAGTTTCTTAGCTACGGTAAGGACTTTGATCTACTTAAAGTTACAATTTTATTGTTTGATGACAATTTGGGGATTAAACTTTAGGAGACATTAAAGGGATATTTTATGATGTTGATCTAACTTTTCGCCAAGTGTCGCACCATTGTATAGATTTAAATAAACTTTTTAAGATAAGAAAGTTACTTTAGAATTCTATTTGGATAGAATTATAGGATTCAATTGTACAAATTGAATTATAATTTTATTCAAAAAATAATTATTAGACTACAATTCTAAAAAGTTATCATATAAATTTTTTTTTTATATCATAATATTCTTTAAAGCGATAGGTTGTGGTTCAAAGCATAAAACATACATTGATAATATATACTAATCGGTTAAAATAATATATTTTACAATCTAATAAAATTTTATTACTATTTAAACCTGTCAATTAGGGTTGGTCATGAGTCATCTCGGATTGTGTCACTTCAAGTTACGGGTCAAGAAAAGTTCAATCCTTGCCCAAAGTTTTGGGTTCGGGTCAAGCCCACAGGCTTTGAACATTCATTTTATTTTTTGCTAATTTTTTATATTTTTTATTGTATAAAATCGAACATTTCCACCAAAATTGTTATTAGTCATTACATGCTTACTAGATATTAAATTGTTACAAAGTACTATCAATTCTTAAATAATTTTGTATCAACGTTATATTTCAAAATTTGATATATTGATTAAAAATTTATCTTAAAATTCAATAAACAATCCGGGGCACAAAACTAGTATGAAGTATATTTTTGGGGGGTTTTAGATTTTGGGTTAGATAAAAGAGCTAAAATAAAATAAAAAAAATAACTTCCTATACGAGAAATAAGAGTAACTACAATGGTTGTAGCTAGTTTGGGTGTTAAAAAATATACGATGTGATAATCCAAATCGAAATTCCGAATATTCTAAATTTTTTAATCGAATTCAATATCCCAAACTGAACAATTGTAGAAAGGGACTTACTTCTTCAAAAGTTCCATACTAACTTGACTATTGGGGCTAAAACATAAAATTAATGACAAGCTAATTATTTGCTTGAGAAAAGTTTAAAATTTTGAAATATTAATAAAATGAAATTTAAAAAGCTAATAAAGAAAACTAAACGATTCATTTCATTTCAGTTCAGCTCCAATCAGTTCAGTTTAGTTCAGCTCAATTCAGTTCTGTAAATCAAAATAGGCCTTAAGTTTATTTAATTAGCAATTAAGCTACTCACGTGGTACTTGCTAACTATTGAGGTTTAAAGAGGGTTGGCTTGAAATCTATGTGATATGGCAAGTCAATTTGGCAATTAGCTAACTTAAGTTCCAATTAGATCTAATATAATTATTTTTTTCGTATTTAAATAAGTGAAGTGTTTATTTTGTGTACGTATGTCAATGCTAAACTTTGCTGATAACATCTTTAATTATACTTTGATGATAACATCTTTAATAATTAATAAGTAAAAATTATAATAGTTGTATAAATAAATTATTCATTGATACTATTCCAACAAGTACACACAAAACCATATTTATTCATATGTATAAGTCACAAACATAGTCAAAGTGAATGAGACAAATACTGCAAAGAGTCAAAATCACTTATTAAAATATGGAGGGAGTAAACATTACGGAGTATATTAATAGTACATTATAGTATCGCACAATTCATGATTAAGGCAAACTTTCACTAAGTTATAATAAGACAGATTAAAGTTACCCTATTATTCTATAAAAATTAAGGAGTACCATTTTTCTGACATAAATTTTACTCTGACCCTCAAAATAAAACATAAATTTTAATCTTAGAAAAACATTTATAATGCATTATATTAATCATGTGGAAAAAGCTAACGAACATGTCCGGGGACGTTGGATAAACTAGCTAAATATTGAAAGTTTAAATAAAAATATTATACCGATCGACGCGTAATTTTGTCATGCTTTTCCAAATTAATGTCAGTTTAGATAATATTTTAAACGCTTATCCAACAACCCGGGGGCGTTCGTTAACAAGATAAAGTATAGTTGTTAATGTATACTTTGTAGTTATTAGTAACGACTTTACAAATAATAACAATGGTTATAGAAAAATATAAAGTTCAAACCAAGTCCAATCATTCAAACCGTTCTAATAAGTTTCAATCAGATTTAATCAAATACTCCCTTCATCCCTTATTGATAGTCCCTTATGGACAATTTTTACGGGAATTAATAAAAATAAATAAGTAGTAAAGTACATTGGAAAGGTAAATTTACACTGGGTGTGCGAAAAAGTAGAGAGAAAAAGTAATAAAAATACATGAAAAAACAAAATTTACACGAGAAAGTTAGATTTGCACAAATATTGTTGCAAATTGAAGAGAATTTTGGAAAAAATTAATATTAAGGGTACTTGAAAAAAGCATATGAGACTATGATTTTGGAGACTTAAAATTGGCCATAAGCGACGGAGGGAGTATAATAAGTAATTAAGTTCAATTAAATTCAAATACCAATATACAGGGGTGTTCAAAAATCGGTCCGAACCAAAAAAAATGACCCAGATCGGACCGAACCGAACTAACCGGTCCGGTCGCTGGGTCTAAAATATTATTTTTCCGATCCGATCCAAAACCCCATAAAAACCAGTCTTGGACCGGACCTATTTTTCCCTTAAATTTATAGATAAAATCTTAGATAATGGTTAAGATTATTCTTAATAACCTTTGAAAACTTTAATTATATGAGCTTTTTTATACTCCCTTTGTGTTTTTTTATTGCATTAGTTTGACCGGCACATTTACCGAGACACAACTTTGACCATTAAAATCTTTAATTGTGTATTAGTAAAAATTGTAACAAAATTATATCACGAAACTAGACATTATGACTAAGGGCCTGTTCTCTTCTGTTGAAATTCAGTTCAGTTCAATTCAGTTCAGCTCAGTTCAGTTCAGTTGTTTTTTTTTTTTTTTTTGGTTAAAGAGAGCGATTAAATTAGATTACCATACGAATAGAAGTCATTACATGCCAGTTACAGAGGTATTTAGGTGACAGGCCACCCTTGATTAGTTGACCATAGAGGTCCAAATAGAACAGTACTAAGTTCATCATCATTGTTAACATCCGAGTTGCTATCTAAATTAGAGCTAGTAGGCAGCGTCAGAGAAGTAAAAGACAGAAGCCAATTTTGATCCAGGACAGGACTGTGATTAGAAAGAGTTAGACCCCTTGCTTTCCTGGCCACCATATCCACTTGCTTCAGCCTTTGTCTCGGAACCTTGATTAGCTTCGAATTGCTTCCAAGAAGGAGCTCCCTGCATAGATTATATATAAATGATGCTTCATCAGTAGCAGTATTAGGATTATTAACCCCCAGTACTGCTCTTTGACAATCAGACATAATGACAACACTGTTCCAACTTCTCTCTTTAACCAATAAAAGCGCAGCAACTATAGCTAATGTCTCAGCATGGAAAGCACACATAGCAGAAATATGACTAGAAATCCCTTCAACCCAATCCCCAAAGGCTAATTTGCAGATACAGGCAATACCAGCAGAGGCATGGGAGCTAGTATAGGAAGCATCCACAGTGATAAACATGGATGAAGATAGGAGGTTAAGCTCAGAAAGAGGGGGTGAGGGGCTAGGCAAGGGGCCTGGAGGGGCTATAAAGGAAAGCTCAGCAATCAACCATTTTACAGAATTGAACCAGGATGGAAGGGGAGTTGATTTTTTCTGAAACACCCAGAGATTCCTCCTATGCCAGATTTTCCAAGCACAGGTTGCAAAGGTAACTTTCCAAGGTTGGGATGATAGAGAGTGTGTGTCAGAGTTTGTTACATTTTCTCTCAATCAATCTCTCAAGGGAAGTTGAGAAAGAAGAGTGTCTAGAGGTGAGAAACAACCCCAAGCTTCCACAGCTCTTGGACAGTCTCTCAGCACATGTAAGATTGTTTCAGGATGGTTTGGACAAAAGGGACAGTTGGGAGAGATGGGTATGTGTCTTGAGTTAAGGAGAAGGGCAGTGGGAAGTCTTTCCCAAGCTACCTGCCAGAGAAAATAGTAGTTAGCGGGTTGGCAAGGAATGCTCCAGATGCATTTCCATAACTCATCTGAACTGACAGAAGGATTTTTTTGAGTCCAGAGATGATTATAGGCTAAAGCAGAGTCAAAGAAATCCCCCCTGCCAAGAGAACAGGATGGAATGTCTTCCTTTTCAGGGAATAAGTGAAGAGCAGAAAGGGTAGAGTATAGATGGGGAGGGAGGTGAAAGCACAGATCGTTCAGGCACCAGCCATTGTGTGAGAAGATAGAACTAAGGGTGATACCCTCCTCCTGGTAAGGTAAAGGCCCTGAAATTTGGCTCCTGAGAGTGCCTTTACCAGACCAATTATCCAGCCAAAGGAGACAGGTATCCCCATTGCCTATTAGCCATTGGGTAAAGTGACTAAAGATGTCCCAACCCTAAACCATAGCTTGCCATATGTGAGAACCATATTTGAAAGATGTTGGAAGAGCTCTTTTGCAGTATTTCTCTTTTATGATTCTGGAAGCAAGATTATCACTATTGTGAATCTTCCAGCATAGCTTGGCTAGGAGGACAAGGTTCTGGAGGTGAGAATTTCTAAATCCAAGGCCACCTTTTTCTTTTGGGCCACACAAGAAATTCCAGCCCAAATAGGAGGATTTCTTACAATCTTGGTTAGCACCCTAGAAGAACTTATTACAAGTCTGATCAATTTGGTTGCAAGTTTTGATAGGAAGATACTGGGCTTGCATAGAGTATTGTGGGATGCTGAGAAGACTAGATTTGATCAGGACTGCCCTCCCAGACTTGGAAAGGCATTTAGATTTCCATGAAGAGAGCTTGTTTTTCATATGCCTGACAATGTGGCTAACTTGAGAGGGGGATGGCCTTTTATCAGATAAGGGAAAACCCAGATATGTTCCAAGATCAAGAGAGATGCCCACATTAAGAGAAGAGGAGAAGAAATCTTTGATGTGGTCAGAAGCATTTTTGGAGAAATACAATTGGCTCTTAGCATTATTCATTTTCTAACCAGAGAGAGAGAGAAAGGTATTTAGGGTTTGGGTTAAGGAAAGGAGGGTTTGGCAGGAGGCTTCTCCAAAGAGAATGATGTCATCAGCAAACATCAAATGGGAGATAGAAATGGAGTTTTTCCTGAAGTTAAAAGGTATCCAAGAGCCTTTATCACAAGCATCAGCAATGAGAGATGACAAATACTCCATACAAAGAATGAAAATGTAAGGAGAGATAGGATCTCCTTGTCTAATTCCTCTAGAGGCATGGAAAGTGGAGGAAGGCCTACCATTTACCATCACTTGGAAAGAAGAAGAGGAAATGCAGCTCATTATTAGAGAGACAGAGTTTTGGTCAAACCCATTTCTGATTAAGCAAGTTTTAATGAAAGACCACTCTAATCGATCATAGGCTTTCTCAAGATCAAGTTTGAGTGCAAACCAAGCTCTATTACCGGACTTCTTTTTCATTGAGTGAAGGATTTCAGATGCAGCAATAAAGTTGTTCTCACATCCTCTTCCCGAGAGAAAACTGCTCTGGTTAGGGGAAATGAGGGTTGACAGGAGGGGTCTAATCCTATTGACAAGGATTTTGGAGATGATTTTGTAGGATGTGTTGCAAAGGCTTATGGGTCTGAACTGCTTTATGATTTCAGGGTGCTCAACTTTTGGGATGAGGGTGATTGTTGTGGAATTAACAACAGCAGGGACAGAACAGGAAGAGAAGCACTCTTCTACAAACAATTTCCCTCCAAATGACATGCCAATGATCTTGGAAGAAGAATGGGTGAAAGCCATCAAGGCATGGCGCCTTAAACCTACCCATACTAAAGATAGCAGAATGGATCTCATGGAGTTCAGGAATATGAGCAATAGCAATATGGTTTCCAACAGACAGGTCGTGGTTTGGATCAGGAGGGATATCAGAGGTAAATAGGGCAGAGAAATAGGAATTGATGTGAGAGGGAAGGTTTTGATCTGGAATGGTTTCACCCACCTCAGATTTGAGGTTTTCAATCTTATTCCTCCTCCTTCTTATGATCACAGAAGTATGGAAGAACTTACTGTTCTTATCTCCACAGGAGAGCAAGTTGACCCTTGATCTCATGGCCCAAAAGGCCTCATCTTGGGCATATAAGGAAGCAATTTCAGAGGTTAGAGAGGCATCCAGGTTGTGTAAAAACTGATTATGAGGTTTTTTTTCAAGAGCAGCCTGGGTACCTCCCAACCTCTTTCAGTTCAGCTCTTAGGGCCTGTTCATATTTACTGAACTGAGCTGAACTGAACTGATTGGAGCTGAACTGATGAACTGAACTGAACTGAACTGAACTAAGCTGAAATGAATATTTTATGAGAGAGGGAAATTAAGAGCTGAGCTGAACTGAACTGATTGGAGCTGAACTGAACTGAACTGAACTGATTGGAGCTGAACTGAACTGAACTGAACTGAACTGAAAATAAGTAAATATGAACAACCTAAACGCTCTTAATTTACGTCTAATGATATTGCTAATGATATAAAGCCAAATTTCATTCTTTTAAGCTCTTATTACAACGACGACGACAACAACAACAACAACAACAACAACAACAACAACAACAACAACAACAACAACAATAATAATAATAATATTAACAATAATAATAATAATAATAATAATAATCAATAAGTAATAAATAATAATAATAATAATCAATAAATAATAAATAATAATAATAATAATAATAATAACAATAATAATTGAAATAATAATACTAATAATAATAATCAATAAATAATAATAATAATAATCATCAATAAATAATAATAATAATAATAATAACAACAATATAAATAATAATAATAATAATAATAATAATAATAATAATCAATAAATAATAATAATAATCAATAATTAATAATAATAATATTATTAATAATAATAATATGTACATTTGTATATACACATATGTATAGTAATAAATAATCAATAAATAATCAAAGATCACTAATCCGTAGTTAAAAATCACTAATTAATAAGTTCAGTTCAATTCAGTTCAGTTCAGTTCAGTTCAGTTTAGCTCAGTTAAGTTAAGTTAAGTTCAGTTCAGTTCAGTTCAGCTGAGTTCAGTCAATCGGAACAGGCCCTAAGCTAATCTAAAGATATATAATATAAAAACAATTATTTGATTTATAGAGGTGAAAAAATAAAGTCAAACATGGTATGTAAACTGTGTAATTGTCAAAGTGATACATTTTAAAAAAAAACACGGAGGAAGTACTTAGCATTAAAAAAAAAAGATGCTAAGTAGAGTTTTTCTTGTACTTTTTGGAGTTTTCTATAATATTATTAAAAATTTAGCATTTTTTAAATAAAATTCTAAAGTCGGTCCAAAGCGGTCCAGTCCAGGTTTTGGACTGATTTTTCGGTTTGGTCCGGGTTCGATCCAGCTTAATCGGTCCAAGTCTTCGGTTCTTGAAATTTAATTTTTTGATTTTCAATTTGGTCTGATTCGGTCTTAGACCGATGAACAACCCTACCAATATATGCCATCAGTCTCAATTATTGAAATAAAAATCCTTATTTCATCACAACTTTTTGATGCCTCATACATTAATCAAGTATCGTATTTCATCTTAATTAAACACGTTTCTTATTACTTGTAATTAATTTTTTTTTTCCAATCTTGTAATTAATATAATTAGTGTTAGGCCACGACGATATCCCGAGTTACTGGATTATTTCCATGCTAAGAAATCTTTATTAATATTTAATTTTTATTAAATGACATGTAATATGGTAATAGCTTAGTGACTAAGGGTTTGTTCACATTTACTTAATTTCAATTTAGTTCAATTCAGTTCAGCTCTAATCAGTTTAGTTCAGCTCCTAATTTCCTTCTCTCATAAAATATTCATTTCAGCTCGGTTCAGTTCAGTTCAGCTCCAATCAGTTCAATTCATCTCCAATTAGTTCAGTTCAGTAAATGTGAACAGGAACATGTTGGAAGTTAAACTTGAGGTTGTGGGTTCAAACTTGTAAGAACCAATACACAGTATAGATTTCATTATTTATTTTTAGACATGGAATGTAAATGAGGAGAGTATCACGTGGCACCTAAACTTTTTAAGGAACGCCTTGAGTAGAGTGCCACGTGACACTTATATTTCTTTAGGATCACCTTTTAATATATATTATACTTTGTAGATTTCATTATGTTTGCTACATTAGATGAATAATTGATGCTATTTCATTTATTTATTTTTTTTTTTTTTGGTGTAAAAAGAGCCGATAAGCAAAAAATGGAGAAAAAATTTAATCTTAAGTCTTGAGTATGAAACCTCGAGACTTTAACCAACTACCTGAAGACTTTAAGCAAATAAGTTACTTGATCAAGTTAGTTGATCCTTTACATGAATTCCAATTACGATCTACGAATAAAACATAGTATGTTCTTGTAGCAAAATTTTAGTGGAGCAAAGAGTTGTTTAAAAACCCTTTTTACTAGAGTGCCTTAGTACAACATAAACATAAAAAAGGACTTTTAATTGAATCCTCCCTTTGAGTAAACTCGAGTTCCCAGTTGTCTAACTCAGCTATGTGATAGATGTCCTACACTCCTACATAGTATTCACAATTCATTTGTTAAAATTTCCAAGCAGTTGACCCAGATTTGGCCCTTAAATGGAGAATCAATTTATTCAATCCAGTCACTTGATAAACTTGAGAGTTGGCACTTTGATCTTTATGTACTCTATTAATTATATACTCTGTATTTGCTAGAATATAACAGGTACAACAAACATTTAAGTTGGAAACCAACTTCAACCATGACAATCTGCTGTAGGGAATTGATCTACATACTTTGAGAAGTTCCCCATCCACATTGTTAGGATATAACTTTCGGAGATGGCTAAAGACAAACATACAATGCTGAGGTACTAAGATTCGTACTACATATATTCATATTCCCTCTTTGAACTAACAAGTGGATCAATGACCTTCCTCCATCCATTGTAATCTACTGGAGAGCCAACATCAGGCAAAGGAAAGCCATTCACAAAAAAAGCCGGAGTTCCATAGACACCTCTTGAACAACCATACTGCATGTACGGTAGAGATGCAATGAGCACAATATAGAAAGCAAACTTTTGACAGGGATTAGTGTGATTTTAAACTAGAGAGTCAGAGTTTAAGGAACTTTGATGGCTTATATACCTTGAATGAAACCCTTGTTTTGAGATCAGTCTTCCTGTCACTGAAGCCAGATTTTACATCAGATTGATAAGCATGACCTACAGATTTTGTTACAAAGTCGACAATGTGGTCTAAAATCTCATTTCTCGTCATGCTGCTAGTCTCTGAGTTGTAGAACTTATTCTGTATCACACATATAGCAAGGCTTAATTAGCAACAAACAACAAATCATAGTACACATTGATGCTCTCGAACTACTACAGTTGGGTCATTAATTTGGAGGAGGGGAGGGAGGGTGCAGGATCACATGTAGCAGCACAATACTACATCTTACAGATAACAATTTAAAATCACGTTAGTTGTTTCAAGCAGATTTGGTTGTACATACTACATTACTACTTAAATCCTCTAGGCTTCAACTTCACAACAGAATCAAGCAGGCGATAAATTCCAGCCATGGTAGGAAAAGACATGAACTTTCAATGAAGACATTAAGTATTGAGCCAGACGTTGCACAGCCAATGAGCCAAACACTGATAATTAATGACAGATCCATCAGTGTTACAACCTCAAATGATTACAGTTTTGCACCTGAAATAGCTAAAAACTGCTAAAAGGTAGGAATTTCTCAAACGAACCGCACTCCTTCGTATATGTCAGGAGTCCATTGATGTTAGACCACAACAAACAATTCCAAGTTTCCACAGAGGACACGTCGTTCATAAAGTCTCAAATTGAAGAACACATAATAAAACAATTCCAAAACAACAATGCAGAAACGGTTACAATTCAGGCAGAGAGCTGGACTAATCATGAAAGACTGCATTCCTGAAACATATAAAGGAAAAAAAAAAAACATCAAGAGCATTTTACCTGATCCTTGAAGAAACTTTCCCATAAGGGGTATGTTGCAGAACTGTTCAATTCATTAACAATATGCAATGCTCGAGATGTTGCAAACGCATTATCATGGTACCTGAAATACAATAGCAATAGCATCAATATCACAATTAAGACATTCTGAAGGGGGACGATTTCCAAATTCCAATAGATATTGCTCTGACAATAAAATGTAGGAAAATTTGCGAGGAAGGTCCTTTTATGAGGTCGACCTTGTGTGGAAGGTCCTTTTATGAAAAAGGTGGCACGAAAGGTCCTTATATGAACATTGGGTTGTGAGGAGGGTCCTTTGACCAAATTACGGCGTTGACCAATTTTTTTCCGGCCAAAAATAATTACGTGATGTGCACGTGACCACTTAAATGAGGTTTTTTTTTTTTTTTCCTTTTTCCCTCTTTTCCCTTGATTTCCCTTTCCCCCTTTAAATTAAGCTCGGAAACAACAATTACAATTAGAATTATGGTTGTTAATTGTTATGGTGTTTGATTTCACCAGAACCAGAACCGGCCACCTACGAAAACCACCCATTAAAACCCACACCTCGAACATCCACCACCTAAAAAACCTCATTTAAGTGGTCACGTGCACATCACGTGATTATTTTTGGCTGGAAAATCTTGGTCAACGCCGGAATTTGGTCAAAAGACCCTCCTCACAACCCAATGTTCATATAAGGACATTTCGTGCCACCTTTGAAAAAGGACCTTCCACACAAGGTCGACCTCATAAAAGGACCTTCCTCGCAAATTTTCCTAAAATGTATGTTGAGCTAAAAAAGCTAATATTTCTACGAATTGATCAAAATAAAATTCTTAATTTAGGATACATATGCTCATAATCATGGTACTAACTACCAAGATTAAGAAAACATGAATTATTGTTTTTCCTTATCAAAGATGTCATATCAGCACTTCGTGTTCTCTAAAATAATATTCCTGTATTTCAAAAAAAAAAAAAAATAATAATAATGTTCCTGTAAGTCATCTGGAAATCAAATCTCTTACACTAGTACTATATAGTATACAATGTCCATCTTAAAATCCGTAATTTGACACTCGAGTGTAGGATGGATACCCCGTTTCTATCCCCTAGACTAATTAAGGAGTCAATTTTTTACAATTGGAGCCTTTTCAAATCCTATTGTACTTGGTGAAAATTTTGTCAGAAATCAACACATTGACTCATCTAGTCCACACTCCTTGAGTAAGATAATCAATGAAGATTGTTCTCTTAATGTACTGCTTTAATTTTCATCAATCCAATTTTAAAATCAGTACTGTAATTGGGATTATTGGTCAGTAAATTTCAAATAAAACTCTTTAACCTAATCTAACAATCAATTCCCAATAAAAGCAATAAGAACCCGACATCAATTGAGTGTGTGATGCATCATACAAAACACGAGCCAAATCCAATCAAATTGAAAATCAAAGAAAATAATGCCATTGATAAACACTAAAATGTAAGCAACACTAAAAAAAATTGAAAGGGTTGACTTACGGAAGAGGGAAAGGATGAACAACAAGGGAGACTTTAGAACCATATAAATGAAGAACTTGTTTGAGAGGAGGCCAAGCATCACGAGAATCTGGGCAAACAGGGTCAAAGAAAGCTTCAATTAAAATACTTTCTGGGTTGAATTTCTTGGGATTTCCATACACAAAACCATCAAATTTTGCAGGAATTAATTGAGCTTGAACTATCCATTTTGATTGGGGATGAATAATTGTAATAATTAGATTAAGAAGAAGAAAGGAAAGAATTGTGAATTGGACCCGCATTTTATTTCTCTAATCTGTCGGACAATATTATGTCCAGGTTCGAGTTTGGTGCTATTTATGGTTAAGAAAATTGGAAAACAAAAGGCGTGGAAGGTAACGAGTACACAAATGCATGCGTATGATTGTATGAATGATCAGTAGATGCGCACAAGTGCACAACACAAAGAAGCACGCGTCATTTGTAGCAATCACACACCCCATTACTTGAGTCATGATCCTACGTGTGTATTTGTCAAAAGTTGACCCGATTTAATCTAATGTGTATTTAAATTGAAGTTGGTTTAAACTTTAAAAACACCTCTCTCTAATAATTTGTCTTAAAAACACTTCTCTCTCTTTTTATATTAGTTTCTGAATGAACTACATGTACATTATTCATTATAGTGTATAAATTACAAATAGAGGTGGAATATTTGACCATGTAGCCAATTGGCTCAATTGTATATGCTACCTCCGTTACATATTATTTACAACGATTTGTCATAAAATAGAGAGGAAAAATGTCTAATCGTTGCACATAATATGTAACGGAGGTATTACTTCCTTCGTTACATATTACTCGCAACAAAGGAATATTTTATGTCTTTAATCTTAGGGTCTGTTCATATTTACTTATTTTCAGTTCAGTTCAGTTCAGCTCCAATCAGTTCAGTTCAGTTCAGTTCAGCTCCAATCAGTTCAGTTCAGCTCTTAATTTCCCTCTCTCATAAAATATTCATTTCAGCTTAGTTCAATTCAGTTTAGTTCCAATCAGTTCAGTTCAGTTCAGTTTAGCTCCAACCAGTTCAGTTCAGTTCAGTTCATCTCAGTTCAGTAAATATGAACAGGCCCTTAACCACCAGACCAAGACCATATAATATAACGGAGGGAGTAATATGTAACGGATGGAGTGTATCTTTAATCTTAACTACCAGATCAAGACCATATAATATAGGATATCAACCAATTTAATTTTAGTTTTTATCTTTCTCTTTTATCATTGATCATAATTGGTGTTTTGAATAAAACTCAATTTTAATTGATTAAATCAATTCATAGCATAATTAAAATAATACTTCATTAAAAATAAATAAAAAAATAAAAAAAACTGCCAAGCTTTAAGATTGGTGCAAATATAAATACTACTATTTACTTCTTTATTGAAACACCACGGTCAATATCAAGCCAAGTTAAGTTATTTATATGCTTGCTAGGATACAGTTTAGGCTCATGTCCAGTCATATTCAAGTTAGATGTTGTTGTGTTTTAGTTAAAGTAGTTTAGGTTGTAGACGGGTTAAAGCATGTTAGTTTTGCTTGAAATTGAACAGACGATTTAAATGTTAGGTTTATCTAGGGTCATACTGAGAATAAAATGGCGTGGAAGTACATTTGGACATGGTTGGACTAGTTTGACATGACATGAAATTGGTACGTCCTAGCAACTTAGCAAGAGACTTCTACAAGCGTGAGTGCCTAACATAATTTTTTTCCCGAGTTTTTAGAAAGCCACGTAGAATTTAATTTTTTCAGCGCGCTATGTAGGATGATAAATTTTAGTGGCAGCTAATTAAATACGAGATTATTAATTATATCTAAATATATACCAAATTTTAGCACATAAATATACGAATAAAAAAATTATTTTAAAAAATTCAAACAAACCGTGCATTGCACGGACTTCATCTAGTTTGGTATAAAGCCAACAAAAGCACAACAAGACAATTTTTGCGAGTTTGTGCACTTGAATTATTTGCTAATTTACCAAAAAAGAAATTAAGAAGGTCCACTGTTACGAAAAATGGAAGGTACCAAGTATACAAATGCATGTGTATGAATCTAAAACGTGACAAGAAGTACATATTGTTAGTGGACCAACTCAACCAAAAGCTTAAGCTGATAGTTGAGGCCCAGGAATATGTTTTATCCTTGAAATGTGGATGCAACACAGGCCCACCTATACCTGGTGCGAATTAATTCCACTTTGAAGGAGGGGCGGATGAGATTCGAACCCGTGACCTTTGTGTCACGTTGGCTCCGATACCATGTTAGTGGACCAACTCAACCAAAAGCTTAAGCTGATAGTTGAGGCCTAGGAATATGTTTTATACTCTATCACATATCATTTGTAAGAAATTGTAACCTTCCTACAAAAATGAAAGAAAACCTTATGCAGTGACTTATCACTTATGAGTCATGATACATTTCATCTAAATACTTGGTCAAAATGGAAAGGGTTATTTGAGCTAAAAAAGTTGAGATTAATTGAAGGAAACTTGGGGATTATAACACCAAATATTTTCATATTATAGCTAAAATCAAGAAAAGTAGGGGGAAAGTTTTATGCTTAAAAAGAGATGATGGGGTTTTAATCTATGATGATGTTTGCCTGAAAACCATGGCTAGGGATTTTTTAAAAAAACTTTTCTCATCCAACATGCATGCAACTCATAATGCTGGTGCTGACCTGGATGATTCCCTTTGCCCTGATAATTTCAAGTACCTTTGTGACCCTCCTTCACTTATAGAGGTTAAAAATTGTCTCTTTCATATGAGCCCTATCAAAAGCCCAGGCCCTGATGGCATACAACCTGTTTTTTACCAACATTTTTGGGAAAGGATAGGAGATAGCATTCATGGCTTTATTTCTAAAGTTTTTGAAGATGGCCAATTCCCAGTGGATATTAACCAGACTTTTATCTCCCTCATACCTAAAAAGGACAATCCTTTGAGTATGTCTGACTTCATACCTATAGGTTTATGCAATACAATTTATAAGCTCATAACTAAGGTGATCTCCTTCAGACTTAGACCCCTTATGCCCTCTATCACCAGTCCTTTGCAATCAAGCTTCATTAAGGGTAGAGGGATGGAGGATAACATCATTTTGATCAAGGAGGTGGCTCACCAATTTAAGAAGTGTGGGAAAGGGAAAAATGTTATGGCTCTTAATTTAGATCTTACCAAGGCTTATGACAGCTTAGAATGGGAGTTCATTCATCAAACTTTGATCTTTTTCCACTTCCCTAGTAAGCTCATCAGACTGATCATGCATTGTATTTCTTCAAGTTTTATTTCTGTTTTGTGGAATGGGGAATTAACTGAGTCTTTTAAACCTAGTAGAGGGATTAGGCAGGGTGATCCACTTTCCAGTTATATCTTTATTCTGTGCATGGAAAGATTTTCTTTAATGATTGAGAATGAGGTTCAAAAGGAGAATTGGAAAGCTTTAAAAGTCTCAAAAAATTTCTCCCTGTCTCACCTTTTCTATGCTGATGATGTTTTCCTATTTGGCTATGCTAATTTTAAAAATTTGGAGGTCATTCTTCATACTCTTTCTAGATTTGGTGCTCTCTCAGGCCTTAAGGCCAATGATCTAAAATCTAGTATCATCTTCCCTCATAAAATGGATTTCCATGTTAGATCCCAGTTAGCCCAAACTGCTGGTTTTAAATCTAGTATCTCCTTTAGGAAATATCTAGGTGTTCAAATCAATGCTAATAAACTAAAAGCTTCAGATTATTGGGATCTAGTAGAGAAAACTTCTGAGAAAATAAAAGGGTGGCAGGCAAAATTGTTAAATATGGCTGGCAGGTCAACTCTGATCAAATCAGTTCTTAACTCCTATCCTCTTTATGCTATGCAAACTAATATCCTACCCTATTCTATCACTGATTCCTTGGAGAAAAAATGTAAATAATTTCTGTGGAACAGGGTGGATAAAAAGCATTACAGTCCTAGGATAAGTTGGGCTAAGGTTCAAAATCCAATTGGGTTAGGGGGGCTGGGTATTAGAAACCTAAGAGAATGGAATGTCTGTTTTATGGCCAAGTTGGGCTGGAGTATATCACATATTCTGATAAGCCATGGGTGAGAATTATGAAGGATAAATATTTTAGAAGGGATAACTTCTGGAACTGTAAGGTTAGTCCAAATCAGTCTTCCATGTGGAGGGATATCCTAAAGGGAAGAGATTTTCTTAGAAAAGGCACTATGGTTAGAATTGGGGATGGTAGTCTCACCTCTCTTTGGTATGATCACTGGGTTGGGAATGGTCCTCTTTTTTTAACTAAGCCCCATGGCATTGTTCTAGATCGAATAGCTCATTGGAGAGTTGATAATATAATCAGAAATGGCAAATGGTATCTTTCGGATATTGCTTATCTTCTTCCTTCATGTATTTTACAACAGATCAAAGCAATCCCTATCTCTTCACCTACTCTTTCTAATTCTAAAGATTGTATTAGATGGATCCATGATAAATCTGGTGTTTTTACCATAAAGAGTGCCTATTTTGCTATGTATAAACCATTGATTTGGCAATCCCTTTTGTTTTCAATTGGAAAACCTTCTGGAAAAGAAAAGTTCCTTACAAATATAAAATGTTTGTTTGGAATTGTGTTCTATCCATTCTTCTTGTGGGTTGCAAAATCAAATTTTTGATCCCTAATTTTGATCCAACTTGTGCTTGTTGTAAACAAAATGAAGAAAGTTTGATTCATCTGTTTAGGGATTGCCCCAAAGCCCTAGAGGTTTGGCAGTTGATTTTCAAACATATCAAAAGACCAAAGAATTTTGATAATAATGCTTTCTTTGGGGATTCATGGAATAATTGGATAGTCTGTAACCTCTCCCAGACTGATCAATGGGTGACTACTTTCATTCTGGCCTTATGACATCTTTGGAAAGCCAGGAACAGACTCATCTTTGAGAAAGCTGTTTACTCAAAGACTTCTGTTTTCAATGGCTTCATAGTTGATCACCAAATTACTAATCATGTTTTGCAAGATGCTATTTAGGGTAAAGGAAAAGCCATTGCAGTGGGTAGGCCTCCAAGATGGATGGGTCCTCCGCCAGGATTTGTGAAGTTGAGCGTGGATGGAGCTTGGAAGAGTTCTTCTGAGGCAGCGGGAGGTGGAGTCATCAGAACTCCTTCTGGAGGATGGTACATTGGCTTCTCAAGCAAATACAATGCCATCACTCCCTTGGCTGAAGAACTCTATGCTATTAGAGAAGGATTAGAGATGGCTAAGGAGTTTTAAATCAAATTTATGGAGGTGGAGACTGATGCAGAAGTTCTAATTCGTATGCTCTCTAATGCTACCACCAACCCTCACCATGAAGTTGCAGCTGTTCTATTAGATGTTGCCCATCTGCTGACTCTGAAGTGCTGGACTATCTACATGGTTCACATTCCTAGGGAGAGGAACAAAGTGGCTCACAAGCTAGCTCAATATGCTATGAATATGACTTTGGGTCATAAAATGCACTTCTCAGTGCCAGACTGTGCCAGAGTTGAGGCGGAAGCAGATCTGGCAGATGCCCATGCTGCTAACTAATTCAAGCTCTTTAGCTCCCTTTTTGCCCCTGCTACATGGTAGCAGTGTATCTTCTCAACTTTTTAGTAATTTTCTGGTAGTTTATATTATGTTTAGCCTTTTGGGTTCCACAGCCCTAAAAAACTATCTATTTTGGATATTACTCACTGTGGAGAGTACTATCAGGCATTAGCCTAATATAATTATCTTTTCCTTGTGTTAAAAAAAAATACTTGGCCAAAAAAATTAGTCCGGTCTATATAATTCGTATTAAAATATTGTATCTAATTTAGGCTTTGTTGATTTTATTGACCTATGTAGTTAATTTGATACGGACTGAGAAGATAAAATATCGTGGAACTGTGGAAGAGTGGAAGTATAGTTTGGCATGATCGGACTAGTTTGACAAGATATGAAAAAGGTGCGCCCTAGCAAGAGACTGTTACAGGCCTGAGTGCCTAACATGGCACAAGAAGCTGAGCACTTCGACATACCTTAGGATCTGAACGTTTCTAGAATTTGGTATAAAGCCAACATAAGCACTTGAATTATTGCATATTTACCCCAAAAAAAAAAAGGAATTATTGTTCAACAGAGCTTTTTTGGTGCAGCAGGTCACACGGTGTGGCCTGCTGCCAAGTCAGTAAAAATAATGGATTCTGACGATCGCATAATGGGGTTACTATTCACGCGCATAACGGGGTTACTGGTTTTGTCAAAGTTACTTGTATTTTTCATGGGTTACTTGTATTTTTTTTTCAAGGGTTACTTGTATGGATTACTTATTAAGAGATTATTTGTATTTTTTTTTTTCCAGAAGTTACTTATATTTTTTTTTCAGGTGTTACTTGTATTTTTTATTCAGAGATTACTTGTACGGGTTAATTCAAGGGTTATTTCAAGAGTTACTTATATGAGTTACTTATTCAATGGTTACCTATATGAGTTACTTATTCAAAGGTTACTTATATGAGTTACTTCAAAGGTTACTTGTATGAATACTTATTCAATGGTTACTTGTTACTTATTCAAGGGTTGCTTGTAGGCCTCATACCAAACTAGTAACACTCTTCAAGTAACCCTTGACCAAACTAGTAATACCCTACAAGTAACCTCTGACCAAAACCAGTAACACCCTACAACTAACCCCTGACCAAAATTAGTAACACCCTACATTTAATCCCTAACCAAACGAGTAACATTCTACATGTAACCCCTGACCAAAACCACCCTACAAGTAACCTCTGACCAAAATCAGTAACACCCTACATTTAACCCCTAACCAAACCAGTAACATCCTACATGTAACCCCTAACCAAACCAGTAACACCCTACAACTAACCCCTGACCAAACTAGTAACACCCTACAATTTTTGACGTAGAATGTTCGATCTAAGATTCCACGAAGAAAACGAGCTCAAATTTCTTTGGTTCTCATTGATTTCCCTACTTCAAATGTTGTTGATGATCTTATGGATAATTTATCATATTTTTTCACAGCAATTTGACACCCAATTTCTACAATTTCGGGCTTTAATTGCAACAATTTGACAAAGAGGTGAGAGAAAATGGGTGGAGTAGAGATATGCTTGTTGGTGATGTGTGATTTGGCTTGAAAAAGAAGCTAAGAAAAGAGGAGAGAGAAAATAGGTGGAGTAGAGATATGGTTGTTAGTGATGTGTGGTTTGGCTTAGAGAAGAAGCTAAGAGAAGAAAGAAGAGTTGTGGAAAACTGTGGCCGTGTGACCAGCCACATACAAAAATTTGTGATTGTCCAATCAATCTATCCATCCATGCCTTTTCGCATGAGTGGAGTCGGCTACATGAACCAAATTTGATTATTTTATATAATCATCAATAAAGATTCTCCTTCTTACCTCCTACATTCCTTATGATCCAATGCTTGTTTACCCAAAAAAAATAAAATAAGAAATAATTAAGAGAGTCTATTGTCAGGAAACATGTAAGGTAACAATAAACAAAATGCATGCGTATGAGTCTAAATTGCAACAAGAAGCACGTATCGTTTGTAAGAAATTGTAACAATCCTATAGAAAAGAAAGAAAGCCTTGTGTTATGACTTACTTCGTATGAGTCATGATACATTTAATCTATATACTTGAAAAAAATATTAGTCTGATGAATGTAATTCTTATTAGAATATATATATATATATATATATATATATATATATATATATATATATATATATATATATATATATATATATATATATATATATATATATTTTGAATAGATTAGAATATGTATTTTTTTTTACAAGAAATAGATTAGAATATGTTATTTAAGCTATGTTTTGTAAAAAAAAAATAAAAAAAAAATTAAAAATTAAAAAAAATTAAGCTATGTTGATTTTATTGAACTATATCATTAGTCAATTTGACACTGACCCCTAAACCGGGAGAAAAGCGCAAACTAAATGAAGTAACTCTCATTCTCACTACTCTAACTATTATGATTCATAAAAAGTCAATTGAAATCACACACTTCAAAAAAATATGCCTTGGTAAGCGGAGTCATACAGTGTAGGTAAAGATTAAACTCTTAGCATGTTTTCTCAATTCAATCTTTTATTCACTTCGTATTTGTTCGTTGAAACTTTAAGTCATAACAAACTTTTAAAAAACTTTCATAATTTCAAATGTCCTGGTGCAAAAGACTAGTGGTCTTTATTTACATAGTTCCTCCGCGGCTCCGCCACATTGTTTAAGCTAATAGAAAGAAGATGATTCTACACAAACATAGACTTGAAATACTAAAATTCCTAGTTCATTCATTCATCTTACTTCTTTGAACAAACAAGTGGATCAATAACCTTCATCCATGCTTTGTAATCTATAGCAGAGCCTTCATCAGGTAATGCAAAACCATTGACAAAAAAAGACGGTGTTCCAATCACGCCCCATGAACTAGCATACTGCCGGCAAAGCATAGAGAGTTACAATGAGCGTTATATAGAAAACAAACTCTTAAGATACTAATTATGATCAACTAGAAAAAATCTAATGGGAAGTTTACTGGTTTATGTACCTTGAACGAAACTCTTGTTTTTTGATCAGTATTCGGATCATTGAGCCCATATATTAAATCAGACTTGTATTTTTCACCTATGGTTTTTGTTACAAAGTCTACTATGTGATCAACGGCCTCGTTTCTTGTCCAATTACTAGTCTTCTCGTTGTAAAATTGTTCCTGCATTACATATAGCGTAGAGGAAGGCTAAAGTTAGCATGAAACATCAATTTAATTATGTATATTATTTCTAACCTACAAAAGTACAAACACATTTCCGGTATGTATCAGAAATAATAAAGATGTCCATGTACGTATATACTGTCAATTGTTGCCGAGTCTTAAAACCAAAGGTTACATGACCAATGGTTGATAATAGAAAGAAAATTCACACCAAATAAAAAATAATAGGAAGAAAAAAGATGCGAAAGATTTGGTACATTTTGGTAATCCAATTACTCATATATTTGGTAGAGCTAGTATATATCTTCTACCACATAAGTAGACAAGTAGTTAAGTACATAACTCGGAAAAAGGCTTAATTCATTAAATCAATTAGTCAAATACTATAAGTAGACAAGTAGTTAAGTACATAACTCAGAAAAAGGCTTAATTCATTAAATCATTTAGTCAAATACTCCAAATATATATATATATATTTGGTATACATTTGTACTGTATCTTTTATAGCCTAAATTATAGCCATGATATAAACAAATTGTAACATAAGCATAATTCACGGCTACAAGTTATGACAGAGTTTGAGAGTAGCTTGGACTAAGATAGTAGTATATTGGTATATACATCATAATGACATAGAATGATAGAGGATATAAGGCCATATATAAAAAATTTATCCATGTACAATGCACAAATCGGCAAAAGTATTCATGAAATAAAAGCTTGATAAATGTATAGATGCAGAGTATCAAAGCATCACCTATTAACCTAATGTAACCAATTCAAATAACCATAACCATCGGATGATCAATTAGCTTAGTTTATTAAAGTCTTAAAAGCTGATGATATTCAAGGAGAACAAATTCCGTTTACAATAATACTCTGCCATTGTGGAAAAAATTACATGTCGAGCCAGCATGAATGAAGTACATACCTGACCCTTGAAAAAACTTTCCCATAAGGGAAATGTCGCAGATTTGTTCAATTCGTTAACTACATGAATTGCCCGGGATGAAATATACGCATTGTCATGGTACCTAAAATACATTTACAAGAAAATTTTCAATCTATTTAACACGAGTATATCAACAAGTACGAACTTATAAACAAACCATCTACAATTAATAGATCTTGCATGGTCTCCAAAACATATTTTTGACTAGTACGTAACATTAATTACAACAATTGAAACAAAATTATTAGTCCTGCATGCATTTATTAATAAATTCAAACTAAGGATATGCAACATTAAAATATCATACAGTTCATCACCTTGTAAAAAAAAGGTAACAACAAATAGTAGAACTCATAAGCTTTTACATAGGAAAATTTCAAAAGGATTTTTTTGCCACAGGATTGATGCTATTTATAGCCGGGAAATTTCAAAAGTAAAGATATTACGGGGTATCGTGTAGTTGTGTTCAAGAAAAAGGAAATTTTTTTTTTGTTAAATCAAAAAGGAAATAATTATTAGTGGAAAAGTAATGTTCATATTGTTCAACTTTATCTTTGAAACTTTCATTTTTTTTGAAAGTTTATCTGCATACAGTAAAGATCGATGACTAAAGATCAAGAGAAAAATCAAAGAAGAAAATAATCTGAACTAATTTCTTGAATTTTACCATTATTCTACAGTATCTAGTCATACTATGTAGTACTATACGTCTACACGTAATGTCTAGTTGAGCAAGTCATTAATTATCTTGAATTTATATCATTTGGATTGACAAGCATAAATGAATAAAATGATATATGTCAATCTATATCTTCCAAAAAAAATGTCAATATATTAATCTTCTTCTAATTAGTGTCCAAATTCAAGGCTTATTCTTTTGCAATCTCGTTTTTTTTTTTTTTTTGAAAGAAACGATAGCCAATTATTATTAAAGGAGGTTCATTTCTGCCAAAGTTGTTATGCTTTGGGGAAAGGTACCTAAGCGAACAAGTTCAGAATTACATCCAGTATCCCACCTTGCAACTAAATGGACAACGGTGTTACAAGAACACTTAATATGCTTAAAAGAACAAAAATAAAAAGACAAGCTATTGTTTCTAATATCATCATAGATAAGTTGGATCGGGGATACACCACTTCTTGAGCTCTTCAAGGCAGCCACCACATTCACGTAATCGGTCTCAACTTCAATTGAATTGTAGCCTAACTCCCAGCCAACATAACACCGTAGCGTATCGTCATTGCCTCAGCAATCTCGGGGGTCGTACCAAACACTTTCTTCACTGCTGCAGTGACAATAACATCATCAGCATCCCTAAGCATGACGCCTAACCCCCACCAGCGAACCCACCAACACATGAGCATCAGTGTTCACTTTGATGCGACCCACAGCAGGTCTCGTCCAACTCACAACAGTAGTAGTGGCAGGTCCGTAGGTTGAGAGGGGATGCAGCACCTTCTCAGCATATTTATTAGTCTTGTACGAGTCTTGAAAAGCCTGCAGCTAACATCACACCATTCGGCCTCTCCCCTTGGTACACCATCATGTTTCTCCTTTTCCATACTGCCCACATTAGTGCAGCCATGGCACACACCACACTCGCATCCACCTTCTGGCCTAGCCAAGTCCACAATTCACCAAAGTTCGAGCGAGGAGCATCATTAAGTAAGTCTTTATACTCACTAAGGTTCCATATTTCCCTAGCAATAACACAATCAAGCAAGGAGTGAATCACCGTCTCACTTACCCCACAAAATTGACAGCTCGCATCAGTTATAATGTGACGCCGCACAAGTCGTTCTTTAACGGCCATGGTCCCCTTCACCCGAATTCAAGTTAGGTCCGACCCGACCCGATATTTTGGGCAGCCTTGGGAAATCAATTTTATGCAATTTTAGTTGTTTTTTTTCCCAACCTGAAATTGGCTCGAAAAGCCCGCTTGGGCAGGTTTGGACACACATTTTCCAGCCCAAAGTTTGACCTGGCCCGACCCGACAAATAGACTTATCTTTAACCTTGAACCGGCCCGAACCCAACCCGCCCATTGATCACCTCTGCCACTTCACCGAGTTCACCCTTCTATAGCTCATAGTTTCAAACGTCAAAGTACTAGGTACTGACTTTATTTACTAGGTAGTATTTATTTATTTTTTAACTCAAATTTTCGAATGACTCCCAACTAAACATGGAATTCTAAACATATTCTTCAAATGATCACCAAAAAATTTTAAGTAAAATTGCCATGTCAAACCCAGTTTTCCGATTAAGCAGATCAACCTTGACAATTCCCACCATTCTCAACTTAGCAACCTTTTCACCTGCTCGAACTCGTCAACTTCATGCCCACATTATCAAATCAGGCCTTCTCAACGACAATTCTCTCTCCTCAAAGTTACTATCTTTGTACTCAAATCACCGATGTTTCGCCGAAGCTTCCATCTTTCTTGACTCAATTGACGAACCCAGTTCTTCATCTTTCTCCATTATCATCAATGCATTGTCAAAATTCAATTTTTTTAATAATGTTGTTGATTTGTTTAGGAAAATGTTATCTAAGGGTGTATGTCTTGATAGTTATCTTCTGCCTGCTGTGTCGAAGGCGTGTGCCGGGCTTTCGGCTTTCGAGCTTGGCAGGCAGGTTCATGGACTTGCGCAAGTATCTGGGTGTTCATTGGATGTTGTTGTGCAGTCTTCTTTAGTTCATATGTATGTGAAATGTGGTCGCTTGAGTATTGCACGTAAGGTGCTCGACGAAATTCCTGAACCAGATGTTGTCACATTTAGTGCTATGATTGCTGGTTATGCTCGAAATGGTGATGTGGGTATGGCGAAAAGACTTTTTGGTGATATGGGAAAATTGGGGTTGGAGCCTAATTTGGTGTCTTGGAATGGTTTGATAGCAGGATTTAATCAAAGTGGAAGGCATTTGGAGGCCATACATGTGTTTCTTGATATGCATTTACGAGGTTGTCAGCCGGATGGAAGTAGTTTTTCTAGTGTTTTAGCTGCAATAGCGGACTTGGAGGTTTTGAATGTGGGAATTCAAGTTCATGGTTATGTGATCAAGAGGGGGTTTGCTTGTGATAAATGGGTTGTTAGTTCCCTTGTTGATATGTATGGTAAGTATGCTTGTGTTTCGGAGATGAAACAAGTGTTTGATGAGATGGGTTGTATGGAAATAGGCTCGTGCAATGCCTTAGTTTCTGCGCTTGCTAGGAATGGTCTTGTCAATGATGCATTAGCAATGTTTAGCCAAATGAGAGAACGCAAGATGGACCTAAATGTTGTTTCTTGGACGTCAATGATTAGTTGTTGTTCCCAAAATGGTAAAGATGTTGAGGCTTTGGAGCTTTTCACTGCTATGCAGCTTGCTGGTGTGAAGCCCAATGCCGTCACAATTCCTTGCTTGTTACCTGCCTGTGGTAACATTGCAGCATTAATGCACGGGAAAGCAGCACATTGCTTCTCTATCCGGAGGCAGATAACGAATGATGTTTTTGTTGGCAGTGCCCTCATAGACATGTATGCAAAGTGTGGCAAAATTAGGGATTCTCAGCTATGTTTTGATGCAATGCCCACCAGAAACACTGTAAGTTGGAATGCAGTAATTGGTGGATACGCTATGCATGGAAAAGACAAGGAAGCCCTGGAGATGTTTGATTTGATGCTCAAGAGTGGACAAAAACCTAACTTTATAACATTCACTTGTTTGCTATCTGCTTGTAACCAGAAAGGCCTTGTTGATGAAGGCTGGCGTTATTTCAATTGCATGCAAAAAGAGCATGGTGTTGAAGCTAAAATGGAGCATTATGCTTGCATGGTGAGCCTCCTAAGTCGTGTAGGAAAGCTTGAAGAAGCTTATTCAGTGATCAAAGAAATGCCTTTTGAACCTGATGCTTGTGTTTGGGGAGCTCTGCTGAGTTCTTGTAGAACCAACAAAAACTTAAAGCTAGGTGAAATAGCCGCCGAGAGGCTTTTTAAGTTGGAACCTAGGAATCCTGGTAACTATGTCCTTCTGTCAAACATTTATGCTTCAAAAGGCATGTGGGGTGATGTTGACAGGGTAAGGGATTTGATGAAGGATATGGGTTTAAAGAAAAACCCTGGATGCAGTTGGATTGAGATAAAGAACAAAGTCCACATGCTTCTAGCAGGGGATAGAACACATCCCCAGATGTCCCAAATTATTCATAAGATGGAAGCACTAGGCAAAGAGATGAGGAAGGCAGGTTTGGATCCTAAAATTGATTATGTGCTACAAGATGTAGAAGAGCAGGACAAGGAGCAGATGTTGTGTGGTCATAGTGAGAAGTTGGCTGTAGCTTTTGGACTCCTAAATACGCCTGCAGGGTTTCCTCTTCGTGTAATCAAGAACCTTAGAATATGTGGCGATTGCCATGCAGTTATAAAGTTTATTTCCAGCATTGAAAGGCGAGAAATTTTTGTTAGAGACACTAATCGATTTCATCATTTCAAAGATGGGGAATGTTCTTGTGGGGATCATTGGTGATTGACAAAGTCAAAATTGGGACAATATAACGCTTACATGAGGATAGTAAGAGGCACCTTTCCTGACTTTAGCATCACTACTGTGCTCTACTTACCTCACAACATATATTGTCAAGAAGGTGACTTCTTGATCAAAAGAGACACCATAGTATGCCTTTGTAGTTTGTACATATATACGGGGGTTTGGTCGTATAAGAGTACAAGTATGACAGGCAAGATAGATCTTTATAGTATGCCTTTGTTGTTTGTACTTCTATACAGTTCTGGTTCCACTACAGATGCTTATTAGATTTTTGTTAGCTTTGCTTTTAATTTGAAAATTTTAGGAGTTGTCAATTTGAGTTAGGGGTTTGTCTAGTTTTTAATTTGTTGAATATTTTAAGTACCAAGTTTTGATATTGTTGTTACCACAAGATTGATGGCATAAGGAAATCAAATATAGATTATGAAAATTTTAGACATTGTTCATTATTGTTTAACGATTCAGCTGTAAGTTTTCATTGCATAAGTTATTAATTGGATCATCTTTTCTTCTATTTGTTTGATGCAGAAGTACCATCTGTCTCTTTACTGAATAATCAGCAGGGTCTAGAACCTGGAATTGCTGTTTTCAGTCCTTTGCATCTGGGAGTTACTCCTGTGGTATTGCTGTTTCTTTCTTCCTTCTTCCTCTCTGAATTTACATTTTTGTCACTATTTCTCTTTTCTTTCTTCCTCTCTGAATTAACACTGTTATCACTATTGCTCTTTGGTTTATAGTTCATGTCTTATTGTCTTTTATGCTTTTGTGTTTGGATTGGTGTCCAATTTCAAACCTTTTTTCTTGTTTGCACTGTTTATGCTCCTAAAATACGATTTTTTAAGGGAAGTTGTCTTTGTTAGTAATACTTTTAGTCAGGAGCTCTGCAGTGTCTTCTATTAAAAAGATTGTCCTAGGTGGATATTTTTGACCACTTGATTAATCTATTGGTACCATATATATTGAGCATAAGAGCAGTACATATATCTATTGTCATGTTCTGTTAGGTTGATTATTGAACACCTTTGAGTGAATGTTTTTTGCGCTAAACCCCTTATGGCTTTCAGGGACTTCACGGGGAATAAAAAAAATTCTCTTATCTTTAGCATTATTACTCTTTGTGCTTCATCACATAACCTTCGGTTGCATAATCTGAAACATCTATGAAATTTCATGCAGATGTTGTCTTTGGTAAACATAGACATTAGACACACTCAACAAATATTTTGCTATATTTGACACTTGCAGGACACTATTCAATATAAAAGAATTCTCATAAATGAGTTACCAATATAAATAATTGGAAGGCCTAATCTATTACCCACTACTGTTACATTATCATCTCCATTATATTTGGAATGTATGGATAAATTTGTAACATCAGCTGACAGCAGTGAGGTGATTTTATGCACCTAAATCCACATTTGAAGTTTTGAACTTGGATCTGAAACTTTGCTTAGGGTTGGCTGAGTTTTAGAGGCCTTTTCAGAAGTGTAGGCATGATTAAAGCCGTTGTAACACTCTAGCAGAGTGTTCCAGTTTACTGTAATTCTGACAGGTGATCTTTGTTTTGTTGTATACACATGTTGCCTCCGTGTTGACCACTGTATTTTGTCTGCCTTTGTTTGAGTTACCGCAGCCATCAGAAAATTGATCTTCCCAAAACTGTACATTATGGCTGGTAACCTTTGCCTCAGTCAGGTTTCTGGATAGTTCGATTCTTTCGTCTTCTTGCAAAAGCATTTTAAGAAGTTCAACTGTGTCTGATTCAAGCGGAGTATTGATGGATGTTCTAAAGGAGCATAGTCTGCATCGATGCATCTAGACCTTGTAAATAATGAAAAGCAAGAAATTTTTGTCAGGGACACTAATTGATTTCATCATTTCAAAGACGGGGAGTATTCTTGTGGGGATCATTGGTGAAAGACACTGTCATAATTGGGACTATTTAACATTAATGAGATATTAAATGCCACCTTTCCTCAATTAAACATCACAAATTTTGCACAACTCTAATGTGTACTCATCAATAAATATTATCAAGAAAGTGACTTCTTGATTCAAGAAAGGTACTGTAGTATGCCTTTGTAGTTTGTAAATATACACAGGCATTTGGTTGTATACAAGTATGACGGGCGAGATCTGTCTATACATACTTCTATGCAGTTTTGGTTTTGTATTAGATGTCTGTTACTCCTTTCGTTTTATATTGTTCTTCTTGCTTAAAATGTTTTTGTGAGACAAAATTGGTCAAAGTAGGATGAACAATATAAACGGGGGGGGGGGGGGGGTAGATTTTTGTTAGCCTTTTGCTAAAATTTACGAAAATTAGGGGGGTTTTAATTTTGTTAGAGGCTACTGTAGTTACTAACTTGCTGAATATTTCATGTATCAAGTTTTGCTTTTGTTGTTAGTTTGTTACCACAAGAATAATGGTGCAACTGCGCAAGGAATCACATTTAGATCATTAAAATTGCAGAGAACTTGTTTATTATTGATAATGATCTAGTTTCCACTATTCATATTGTAAGTTATTAAAAGAATCACTGTTTTTTCTCTTTGTTTGTTGCAGAAGTGTCACCTTACTCGTATCTGGGATTGCTGTATTCAGTCTTTGAACCTGAGAGCTCTCCTCTGGTATAAATGTTTCTCTCTTCTTTATAGTTTTATCAATATATCTCTTTGGTTTGGTGTACATATTTTTGTTCTCCATTGTTGCTGCTTTTGTTGCATGGTAAATCATACTTTTAGTCAGGATCTCTGCGATGACTTCTATATAGATTATTTTGGAAGGTGATTATTGAACCTTTAGTGATCTATTGGTACCATACAATTTGAACCTAAGAGTGGTCAATCCGTCAAATCTATTATTATATTCTCTAGGGTGATTAATTGTTAGTGTTTATGAGCTGAAATCCTTATGGCTTACCGGGACTTCTTAAATGTATAAATAATAGAACTTCTGTTGAATAATTTAGAGAATGGTAGACATAATTCTTGTTGTTTAAATTAAATTACTTAGGTTAAGGTGTTGTAATTTGTTTTTAAACAAATATTAGAAGCATGAACTTGGTTTAAAGGGAAGAACAAAAGAATAATGGTGAAGGTATTACAACTCTCAGTTTAGAGAAGCTGAAACAGCCCCTCTCACTGCCCGGTCAGCAGCCCGGTTAGGGTGGTGGTGGTGGACCTGTGATTAATCTCCGCTGCCCGATCGGGCAGCCGTTGCCCTACCGGGCGCGAGGGAGATGATGAATTTTGCGAATTCAATATTCAGGTTGGCCCGATCGGGCATGCCGCGGCCCGATCGGGCGCGAGTCAATTCAGTTTGTGGCTGACGGTTTTCTTCCATTATGCTTTTGTTATTTGTCAGTTGTTTTCGTGACTTTTGGCTGATAAAAAGTGCTTCTATATATATATATATATGTCAAAGACATGAAGAAAAAGGATTTTTTAAGGAGAAAAGTGGGGCGGTTCATTATTTTCTTCTTAGGAACTCGAAGAAAATAATTAGTTCCATTATTTTTTTCTTGATTTCATTTTGCAAATTCAATTATCATCATCATAATTATTATAAGTTTGATTACATTAGATCACAAACATACTACACACTGTTGTGATTGTCTTCGTTGTATCTCCTAGTAATTTCGTGATACCCGGTGTGTAAATTCAGGGTCGAAATATTACTTTGGGAAACTGATTTCGTTCAAGCCTCGAAGTGTTAATTTGTCTAATTTCGTGTTATTTTTGTGACCCGGTAAACCAATTTCCCCAACAATCCAAAGTAATATTATTCTATAAAGATGACATGGTGTAAGAATTGTCTTACAATTTCCATAATTTGGACAAATTAAGAGGAGTGGTTTTACGAAGATGGTAAAAGTTTGCAATTGCAATTTTTGGTGTCATCTCTTGGAGTGGTGTTTATTCTCAAAGTTAATGGAGGAAAAAGACGAGTCTTTGGAGGCCACAAGGAAGAGGATCAAGCGGAAGAACGGTTTGTTCGGTACCATTAAATTGATGCAATTCGCGGTAATTCATTGTTGTTTTATCCATGGCGAATTGGTTAGTATTTCTAATTTTCTATATTTTTTTTATTGTTTTCCATGCTTGAAATGATGAATAGTTTAATTCATTTTTGATTTTATTTTATGATTATTTAGCATGGATAATTTATTATTTTATTTGATGATGACTTTTTATAGAAAGTATAACATGTGCTTATTATGTTAATTGTTATATTGATTATGTATATTGGTAATATATATGTTAATTGTTATTCATGGATTAATGACTATCGATGATAATCAATGTGGCAAAGTTGTGCTTTGATAAAGTATTTTATTAGTCTATGCATGATAAAATTCAATTGTAGCTCTCATTGAATCATGCGGTAATGACTAATAGTCATGGTAATTAGAATAATTTTTGAGGTAATTCAAATGTCTTGATTTAATTCAAGTGATGCTCATTTCGATAGTTCATGAACTTATTAATGTGGATAGTTTGGCATATACTATTGGTGTTTTAATTTATTCAAGTTTTGAATTTATTGTTTTATTTTACAAGACTGATTTATTTTATGTTCTATACTGTTGTCTAGTGTAATTATTTTCTGTAAATTCATTTGTATAAGTGTATGTATATTAAACAAATTTGATGGCAATGAGGAGTTTGTCAAATTTGTATATATATTGTATTAATTCTTATGCATGAAACTGATTTTGGTTTATGATGAATGAGCTAGATGAATTTATCTTTCGTGATGTCCATGTTTTGTAGGAAGAATTTGATTCTTAATCATCATGATGAAAGGATAAATGTTTTGACAAAATATTGGTTTATTTTGTTGGTTTGAATATGTCATGTTATGTTGGGGTTAAGCCAACTAAGTTATTACATATTTGTTTATTTATTTTATTTCATTGGTGTTATCATGACATTAATGTTTGTTTTAACTTTTAATTTTCTCATTTAATTCCAATGTGAAAAGAATAATTTATTGCTTGATTAAGTGCATATGTGTTTTTCATAGCACACTTTCCTTAGGCAATATGAAGTGTTTAGAAATTGTCATTGATGTTTTTTTAAGATGTTGCTATGTTTATTTTAGTGTATTCTAAGGATGAAGCCGGGACATATTTAAAATCTACTAAGTGAATAGTAGAGTTGCAAACTAACGGAAAGTTTAAAAGTTTAAGAACAATGTAGGAGGTGAATGTTATTAGCCAAGTTATTTCCAGTCTATAGGTTTAGTACATGAAATTACCGCGGTATATACACCACAACAAAATGGTGTAGCGGAAAGGTAGAATAGGACACTAGAAGAAATGATTAATTCTATGTTGTCATATTCAGTTTAAGTGATCGGTTTTGGGGTGAAGCCGTTTTAACGGCATGTTACGTGTTAAATCGTGCTCCCATGAAAGGGAAAGATGTTACCCCATATGAGTTATGGTATAAAAGGAAACCAAACTTGAGTCATATCAAAGTTTGGGGTTGTAGGGCAATTGTAAAAATGCCAAAACCTAAATGTAAAAGTTAGTTGAAAGAGGAGTTGCTTGAATGCAATTTTATAGGATATGCGGTACATAGCAAATCCTATAGGTTTTATGTAATAGAGCAAATGACTTTGGCCGGTTCACACCACCATTGAGTCAGGGGATGCATGGTTTGATGAAATTAAAATAGATTTTCTTCAATTTCTAGATTTAAGGATGTAACTCTGAATACCAAAACTGAAAGTTTTGATCAAGGTTTCATTGACCAAGAGGTGGATGTCCAAACTCATTTAGAGAAGGCATCTACATCATCATCACAACTAAGGATAAGCAAGAGGGCAAGGAAAGGGAAAAACCTTGGCCCGAATTTTCATGTGTACTTGGTTGAAGGATCAAGGGATGAAGTTTCATTACAACATCCATACATTTTAATGTGGAAAATGATTCTTTAACATATAAAGAGGTTATGAAGTCTCGGGATGTTCCGTTTTGGAATGTAGGAAGTAATTAATGATAAGATGAAATCTATCATGGGAAATAACACTTGGGTATTAGTTAATTTACCACCTAGTTTAAACCAATAGGGTGCAAATGGATCTTCAAAAGAAATTGAAGATTGATAGAAATGTTAAAAGGTTCAAGGCCTAGTTAGTGGCATAAGGAATATGCACCTGTAACTAGAATCTCAACAATTAGATAATTAAATGCATTTGCAGCAATTAAAATTCTAGTGATCCATCAAATGGATGTCAAGACTGTATTCTTGAATGGAGATTTGTAAGAAGAGGTTTATGTGCGACAATCGGTAGAGTTTGTTGTGGAAGGCCAATAGGCAAAAGTTTGCAAGTTATTTAAATCACTGTATAGGCACCTAAGCAATGACATCAAAGTTTGATGGGGTAGTGTTATCAAATGGTTTTATGTTTAACAATTTTAGACAAATGTGTGTATAGCAAATTTGATGACAATGGTTAAAGTGTCAAAATTTGTCTATATGTAGATGACATGTAGATCTTTGGATAGAACGGATTTGTCACAAGTTGAAATGACAAAGTTTTTCCTTAGTTCATTGTTTTCCATGAAAGACATGGAAAAAAGGATGTCATCTTGGACATAAGAATAAAGAAGGAAAAAGGAAAGTTGATCTTGTCACAATCTCATTATATTGAGAAAGTGCTCAAGAAATACAATGTTAATAAAAGTTGACCTTTCTTTATTCAACACCTATGGTTCCTAGCATAAAGTTATTACCCCGTAATGTTAATGCAGTTTTCACAACTGGAATTTGCTAGAGTTATAGGATATTTTGTTGTATGCCATGACAAGTACTAGGCCGGATATCGCTTATGCGATTGGTCAAATGAGTAGGTTCACTAGTAATTCTAAAAATGCTACATTGGCAAACAGTTCATTGTTTGTTGAAGTACTTGAATAAAACCATGGATTATGATATAGTGAGTATCCTTCGATTGTTGAAGGATATTCGGATGCAAGTTGGATCTCAAATAGAGATCATTCATTTACAAGTGGATGGGTGTTCCCATATAGTTGGTGCCATTTCATGAGCATCTAAGAAGCAAATTAACTTGCATTGCGGATTCTATAAGACATTAGAGTTTGTTGCATTACATTCCGTTGGTAAAGAAGCAGAATGGTTAAGGGTTTTGATGCATGATGAGATTCGTTTGTTGAAAAAGCCAATATCACTAATAGTGATGAATTGTGATAGCAATGTAATTTTTGGCTAAGGTATATAGCCAAGTCTATAATGGCGAGTTAAGAAAAATTGGTGTAAGGTATTATTACATCCAAGGACTTAACAAGGATAGTGTAAAAGCTATTGTTTATTTTCGTACGAAGTTAAATCTCGCAAATTGCTTAATAGGCATGGGTTAGAGATGTTAATAAAAGGATGACAATCATTTTAGATTGGAGCTCTATTGTAATCACAATTAGGAGAATCTCAACTTAACGCCCAATATGACGTTGGGTCTTAAGTTCAATGAGATTAATTCTCTTAGTTGATGATTAGAAACTTGTTTAATCATCCAAGGTTAAGTTCCGGTTTTATTGTGATGAAAAGATGTTGTTTAACTTAATAAAATTCCTGATATATTGCTTAGTCACAGGAGCATGTTGGGAAGTCTGCCTATATAAGTACGAAGTTTAGGCGCTTCAAGAAGCTATTGGGGCATAGCTTTGAAGTACTTACGAAAAGATAGGGACACATGGCTTTATGTGTCAAGTATTAATGTAATCAAGTAATGTATCTTGTGTGTGTAATATCTTCATGAATCCAATATATATTGCACTAAAGGGATACGGGTTCTTGGAATGTGTATTGCACTAAAGGGAAGTTCAAGTCTTTGTACTCTTTTAATTATGCACGAGATCGTCTTTATGATGATGATGTTTTGCAATGAGTCTAGATTTATTCTCTAAATGGGGGAGTATTGTTGAATAATTTAGAGAATGGTAGACATAATTCTTGTTGTTTAAATTAAATTAAATTAAATTAAATTAATCCTATCAAACTTAATAATATACTCCCGGATTGAGGTGCCTTCTTCCATCTTGCATGTATACAAGTTGGATTTTAAATAGATCCTATTTGTTAAAGATTTTGTCATGAAATTAGCCTCTAACTTTGTCCACACGCTAGCGGCTGTTGCTTCTTCATTTACCAAGAATGCAACGTCCCTCTTAATGTTGGGATATTGATTCAAACATTAATTTGTTAGTCAATGCATGACACACTTAGTGGCTAAGTATTAGGTTGCTTGCTCCATTAAGTTAGAGAGTCAAAGTTGTTAGTGGTAAGTGTTTCGGGGTTTTCTGATGTCCTGCGGGAGAGTTACAATTCCGAGACTGGAACCGGACGCCTGTACCTGCAAAATAACGGAGACTCCTGAGAGCTCCGCCTCCAACGGTCAAGTTAGTACCTGATTAAGGAGTAATCAATACAGAAATTAAAGTAATGAGATCTCTCTAGGTGAGAGTGCTTAGTGTTGGTAATCTGCGTTGTTAGCGAGATTAGCCGGTTGTTAATAAGTCTGTTCTTCTCTGCTTGATCTCTTAGTTATTCCGTTGTGTGATTAATGAGGATTAATCGAGTATTTATAGCCTCGGGAAGCGTGCAACTCTCTAGGTTTAAGGTAAACCTAGGGCTGATCGGGCCTCTAGACTGAATTGGGCCTTGACGGCCGGTTTTCCCATTTGGCATGGGCGGACACGTGGCGTGTCTTAAGTGGTCCATGGAGGACGTATCTGTGATTGACACGTGGCAAGCTCCTGTTGGCCTTTGTGAAGGACACGTGGCGGAACCTGGTTGGTCCACTTGTCAGATGGTGATTGGTGGATAAAAATCCCCTAATCATTTGCCCCTCACAGGTGGCACGCGACTGGTCACGTGTCGCCTGTGACAGGTGTCGCACGGTGACAGGCGACGGCCCGTTACAGGTGTCACCTTGCAGACGGCCGAGAGATTTTCCCGCCCAAATTTGAATTTGGAAGCGACCCTTCGCCTTCTCATTTTGCCTATAAAAGGAAGTGCTGACTTCGGTCATTTTCACATTTGAGAACTTTTGCGAGAACATTCGGACCCCTGAACTTGCTCTGACATTTTCGGACTTTTTCTGCCTACCGCCTGTTCTGACAAGCCGACTGACCCGAACTTTCAGGACTTCATCAACCGTCACTCGTTCAGGTAACTTAGTTCTCTTACTCTTAATTTTCTCTTTATTTTTTGAAATGGCACCATGGAAGCACACGACACGCCCTAAGTTAGTGATCAGCCGGTCACCGGGGACGGCTGAATCTAGGACTAGGAGTGCCGCCTGCCCTTTTCTGGACCCATCTTTGCCCTTTATACAAAGTCCGACTGAATCTGTGTCTATGCAGAACGTGATGGCCAGAACAAAAAAGACTGCTATGATATCAAACTCAGACGGCTCCTCCCAAAGGGTGCTCCTTAGTGAAACATCTGACCAGGCGCCAGATGTAGA